TAATTATTTCAATTTCTATTTATCTTATAAAAGGAGAATAATTTTAAAATCGCAAACCTAATGTCATTGGTGCAAATATTACACATCGAATTGCAGTATTGAATGTGTAGAAGCGATGCAGAAATCTTGACATAGACTTAAATAGTATAACTACCATAAAGCAACAATATTTTTGAACATAAAAGTTTTGATTGAATATGAGGCACATGTGTCTTTAAAAGAGGGGTAAATATGGAAATGTTGAGTGATGTTGGTTTGTCGAATGCGGATTGAAAAGACGCAACTAATGTAAATGGGTCTAAATGGTGTCATGACCTACTAAACGCTCAACTATCGCCGTCTCTCCTAACCTTCCCACCGGACTCGACAACCGCCTGACCTCCTCAACCTATATTGTTACGCAAAGCAATTTTCGGAGGGGTAGATATGGAAAGTTTGAGTGTTCTTGGAGAGCTGACTGGTGGATTGTTTAGCTTCTTTGACAGTAATGTGTGATCTCTTAACATTAGTTCATTTGGTTGATCTTCTAGGTTGACTTTTGAGTTGATTAAAGATAAACAGTGTCCCGCGCTCCCGGCCTACTAAACTCTCAACCATTGTCGTCTCTCCAAACCTTTAAATCGGACTCGACAACCGCCTAACCTCCTCCACCTATACTGTTATGCAAAGCAATTTTCGGAGGGGTAAATATCGAAAGGTTGATTTTTCTTGCTTGGAGAGTTGACTGATGGGTTATTTAGTTTCTTTGAGAGTAATGTGTGATCTCTTAACATCAGTTCAATTGGTTGATCTTCTAGGTTGACTTTTGAGATGATTAAAGATAAATAGTTATACTTTTTGTTGCTTTTGTTATGATACTCCTGTTTAGTATCATCAATTTTCCGATTTGAAATCTTTTTGTGGTTAGTTTTTAGTAAACAATGACTATTCTGATTAGTGTTAACATAGGGAATAGCTTCAATCGTACCACTTTTACACAAAATTTATATGTAAGAGTTGAGATCATTTCCGAATTAAACTATTCAAGCTATAATGCTAATCTTCAACATATAAAACATGGTTTCTTTTGAGTGAAATAACCTCATGATTGCAGATAAGTTTTTACAATATGATGTTTTGTGACAGTGTCACTTGCTTCCAAATTTAAAAGTGGGGTTCTAATTACTAAAATACAAAAAATATGAGTGATGACCATAATTGGAGCATATAGAAGATGGTTTGATATCATTCTCTCTGCAAGGAATAAATACATGGTGAGAATATGTTGTCATGAGAAGGACAAACCGAACTCTTTGTATTTGTAGTATAGCATGTTGATATATACGCATGTCTAGACCCGATCAATTGGACATCTCCACCTGGAATTTATTGACGAGATTTTTGCTCCTCAAAGACGAGTGCCAAGTAAGCTCTCTCCTTAATCATTATATTTTTCTTAATTTGCATATGCACACCCTCATATGAAACATGTATGGAATTGTAATTTGGGTGCTTCATTGGTGTTGTTTCCATAAGATTGTATTATTTGAGGTGGTTGTTCTAGAATTGTGAATCGAGATTTTATCTCCTCTAAGAAATTGTCAACTGAAGCTATAAAAGAGGCCAACCTGAGCTTCCTGTTTAATTTAGATGGTAAGAGAGCAATGACTCACATCAAATTGATTGGGGTTGACAATGCCTGGGCAACGGTTTAGCCTTCTTCAGCGCATCCCAAGATCCTGATAGTATCTCAACCAAAGCAATTTTTGTTTTCATGCATGATGTTGATACAAGTTGTTTACCTAGAAGAGAACCCCAACAAGTTAGCTCTTGGAGTTGTGATGCGAAAATGGGTGATACAGAAATGGTTTATACAAAAGGTCATACAATGATCGTATAAAATACGTTGGTAGAGATAGTCATCAATCTCATTTTATTGCCGAAGCCACCAAGGAGAAGAGAGGAATCACCATTGGTACTCTAAATTTTACAAGACTATTATAATGATCATTTCTTTCATTTCATGTAAATTTGTGTTATGACTGAAGTGATATTACCGCAAGCCATAAATTGCAGCAAGGAATGGTTGTTTGAATTAATGTGCAATGATGCAAAATGTCATGTAGCTTCCACGAAAAAGGAGTAAGAGTGGACCAATCAGTGTGTTTGCTGTCGAGAAGGATAAGAATCGTAATAATGGGGAGGTATATTGGCAGAAGTTATTATCTGTTGGTGCTTCCAGGCATATATTGCTTGCCTGTTTCTTTTGTTTGTATATGAGATTTCTAAGGCAGATTGCATGCTTTGTATTTCATTTTTTTGTCATTTTAATTAACAAAACTATTTATAAAAAAAAAAAACTGGCCAACGCATTCCATCGAGTTGATTTGGATTTTTCTTATGAAATCTCTTGGTGACTTTCATTTTTACCATCGATAGTTGGAGTCAGGTAAGCATTCCTTTGGTTTTTTCATGTTCACTCTAGGGGCGTCATGGTGCATGGCTATAGTGGCTATATTGAAGGCTAATTAATAGCTTGGTTTGGATTGTCCATTATAATATTTATGTTTTACTGTTTCTTTTGTAATGCAATGGGATAATAACTTTCCATCATATTATTGTGGTATTGTTGACCTACCTCCGTCCATCGCCGCATACATGTTAACGAGTAACATCAGTTACAATCAAAGAGTCAATTTCCGAGACTGCGTCCGCCCAAAGGCCGGGCAATGAGCTAGTTTGTTGTTGTAATGGCGCGTGTATTAAATTAATTTGGGGTAAAATGGTCACTTAAGGTAATTTTATGCTGATTGGGTGCTTAGTCAGCGCAAAATCAACAGCTAATGATATAATTTAATGGAACTTTAACCGCGTTAGTGATGGCAATTTCAACCCGCCCCGCGGGTATTATCCGACCTGACTCGCGATGGGGCGGGTATTACTCGACCCGCAGTAGCGTGGGGTGGGGCATGGGTATCTACTTCCTACCCGTCCTGCCCCGCCCCGCCCTGTTCTAGACTCATTTTATCTCAATTTCTTACAATAACTATACATATTTCTCCTATTTTTACTTTTCTTCAACTAGTTAGGCTCAATTATCCATTCTATTATCAATATTTTTCATTCTTAAAGTGTTTTTCCTTACGTTTTATTGTAAAAAGTAAAATTTACTTGTATTTTTTTTAACAACATGTAAGAGTGGGTCGACCCGCCCCGTACCCGCGCGGGTTTTACCCGCCCCGACCCGTAGTAGCATGGGGCAGGGCATGGGAATTGAGGTACCCGCCCCGCCCCGCCCCGCCCCATTGCCATCACTAAGCCCAGTAACAGTAGAGATTTTGTTAGGAAAGGTTTGATAAATCAGGGCTACCATAGGAAAAATAATAATTTAGGGACTTCAATAAAAAAACATAAAAATTTAGGGGCCACATATGCATTTAACTCATAGTTTATTTAAGAAATTTCCAAACTACACATGTTTTAGGACATATCACTTTAGTCAAAAGCGATCTGCAACAGATCGCAAACAGATCGCTTCTGACCTCAGGGATGAATGACGGATCTCCTCTGACCTCAGCAATCAGTAACAGATCGCTTGCGACCTGAGCGATCAATATCTTACATATATACGGGGAAAAATTCGCACGATAATAACTTTGTACTTGGTTCGTGAATTTCTTAGTTTTGATTTTTCATAACTTTCACATAGGTCTATTTCATGGATCAATCCACCAATCCATTTGATCCAATCCATGAATCCACCAATCCATTGGATCCAATCCATGTGATCCATGGATCCACCAATCCAATCCACGAATCCGATCCAATTGCCACCTCTACACGAATATAATGATGATGATGGATTACTTAACAAGCAAGCAAGAATAAACATGTAAAGAGCTACTTAACAAGCAAGCAAGCATAAAAAAAGTAATTTGCTACCTCAAACAAGCAAATTTTTTTATTTTGCCAAAATTTAGATGCTCATAATTTTGTGTTTCGTAATCACAAAGTTTGTTTTGATTTTGCATTAATTCCCGAGTACTACAACTTTTACTAGAAAAAAATTCAAAAAAGGAAATATATTTGCATATAAGAGGTTTTGGGAATAACTTCAGCTTTAATTTTCACATTTTCACATACATTCTGAATTTATTTCTACAAAAAAAGTTGTAATCCTCGAACAGTTATGCGGAAACAAAAAGAATTTCACTATAATCAGATAGCCGAACACAAAGTTAAAGGTTTCTTGCCTTTATACTTCCTTTTTTTATTCTTTTTTTTCCCCTTAAATTCGGTCAAGCTAGAAGCATATAACTTGTAAACATTTTTTATTCGGATTAGATAATTCAATTGTCCTTATTTTTATGAAGAAAAGTTATGATTATTAAAAAAAGTTTATATGTTATGGAGAAAAAATTTAAATCGAGTTAAAATGTCCTGCAGTACATACGAACTATTGTGTTTGGTGTAATGTTATATGTTATTATTAATAATTCCTGCTGTAATATAACGTTCAGCTACAGTGGCGTAGCCATGATTTTGTCGAGAGTGAGTTTATTTAGAAAAAAAATGCATAGAATAAAAAATTTATTAGCTTTTTAAACCATTCATGATATCATTTTGTATTTACAAAACTTGATAAATTAAATATGTGTCGAAACTATCAACATATTACTCTATATGTGTCAAACAATTATTCATGATTTAGATAGAAATTTACTTTCTAATATTGCTCTTTGTCAAAACCGTTTAGTATCAATAACTCGAGCTGTTGAGAAAGATTTAATAATAGATATTATACTATTTAGTATTCACTAACACTTCCCCGCGCTAAAGAAAACAAAAATTGCCTTAAATTTCATTCTCAATTAATTATTATTATACTAATTTACTCATTTTCGTCCTTAGTAGTCATTTACATGGATCATATGCATCGTTGTGATTTGTACATAACTCAATTATAAAAAATTGAATATGTCAATACACAACTTATAAATCATACATCAAATATTTAAAGATCAATCATTTTCATTTAAATACGTGTTATTTTTCATACCCGATTGGCCCTTAGAAGCCTGTTTACGGTCTAGTAGGTCCTCTATATCTTTCTGCTTCCTACGAAAAAATCTATGCATTTGTTTCTCAACTACTCTTCTTTCATCATGCGCTAGCAAGGCACATGCCACGTGGTAATTGGGTAGGTCATTACACTCATAACATTTGTATCCGACCGAGTACCCGAGTTTGTCGCAGCGGGCGCACAAGTATTTGTATTCGTACCCAAACGGCATGATGACCAGGTTCAGACGGTGATCATGCGCGGTATCTTCCCTTAGCACAGTCGGCAAGATCTGGTGGTGGAGGTTCGTCTGCATCAGGCAATCATGGCAGTCATCCACGGCGCCGGAGAACTCCTCCTCCTCGCCGCCGTCGACCCTACAGTTTTTGCATTTCACCTTGGAAGGAAAGTCATATGATTGTGGTCGGACTACTTCCAGATACGGCGGACATCTGTCCACAAGTCCGTCGGCCGGTTTCTCGGCGCAGCTTTTGTGCAATGCAAAGTCACAGTCGGTGCATCGGTAATAAGCTGTGAGATGATCATAGAAGTCGCCGTCGCCGCAAGCTATGCACGACCAGCCGTCGTCGGTAGTATTTTCATTACTACTATTATTCGGTTGTTTCTCCACCCATTCATGCAAGTGGTCGCTTCTTCTCTGCTTCCTCTGTTTTGCTTTTTTGTTTCCTCCAGGCCCAGCCACCACCTTAGTATTGTTATTGTACTTCTTCTGCTGACGTAAAAGCAAGTGAATCTTGGACACAATGCCTTCGGCTTTCTTCCCGTCGAATGACTCGGCATCCACGTGGACCAATAAGATGCCATCGTGTTCGTCCTCGCCGTCTGACTGATGTTGTCCGGCTTTGTCTTCGGGCGGGTGGCATTTGATGACGATGAGACGAGCGCCGGAAGAAGCTGCGAGTGCTCGCCACGTGGTCCCCAGAGTTAACGGGTGGGCCCCACTGATGATGACGGGGATTTTCAGACTGATGAGCTGCGTGGAAGCGACGCCGTATGCGACGTCTAGCGCTGGAGATTCTTCGGCCATTTCGTTATTATTGTTGGTTTGAGAGGAGGAGGAGGATTTTTGAAGGGCTTGGTTGATGTCGTGAGTGTCGATGAGAGGGCATTTGAGGAATCGGGCTAAGTTGGACGCCACCACTCTGTTCCATTCTCGTGAGCTGCCTTTCATTGCCATGATCGTCACTTCGAGATCTTCTCGCCCACCTTCTTCCATCATTGATCGTTGTATGAAACAAGGTTTGTTTGGTTGGTTGGTATATTAGAAAGAACTATGTTGTATGTATGTGTGTTTTGTGTGTATATATACCCTTAGCAAATGACAATTGACGTTAAGCTCATAAATTTGATTCTGTTGTAATTTCGTGGAGGAGAAGCAATGAATATATTACTTACTTGTGATTAGAGGAAACCTCACGAGCAAGTATATATAACTAACTTAATTCCACTTGGACAAAGAATGAGAATGATTATACGTATATGACCCACATATCTTTTCCTCTCAAGAAAAATATATACGTAACTTATAAGAAAAATACTTGATTGAATACGTAAAGTCATTCAAAACGGAATATAATGACTAACAAATCTTTTTCTCCGATACATATGTCTCATGAATCACAGATCGAGAGATACATGCATGAAAGCGTGTGTGTTTGTGTGTATATATACATTTTGCAAATGATAATTAAATAACTAATTCCACAAATTTGATTGTAACATCTTTACCCTCCTACATGTACTACGTCATGCATAGGTCACACGTACATTAGTAGTGATCGGTTTAAAATTCGTCCCTTATCCAAAATCTAAGCATTTATCGTTATGAGTGGCTAACTGTATTAATTTGTGGCTAATTGAATTTTCCTACATGAGTTTAACGGTTAAACTAAGGGTTAAGTGTGGTCTAAGGGGTCGCTTGGATGTTGGGATTTCAAGCGATGTATTGAGCCAATACATGTAATATCAAGAATAAGTCTCTTTTTTTTTTTTGTTAAATTATTACCTTTTTTTTGTTAAATGAATCCACGTCGAACCATCGACCACGCACGGTTCATGACACAGTGAACAGAAGGGAGTAGATTTCTTTCACTCATAGAAGCTCGTCGTCGTCTCCATCACTTCCCAAAAGCTTTTCTGGTTTCTCTTTCGGGCTGGCATTATACGGACGGATAGGACGAGGAGGCGAAGGAGGAGGAGAAACAATAAGAGGACTATTAAGAACAGGACGAGGACGAGGAAGAGGCGAGGGAGGAGGAGAAATAAGAAGAGGACTAGTAAGAACAGGACGAGGACGAGGAAGAGGACGAGGACGAGGACTAAGAACAGAACGAGGAGGACGAACAGGAATACGAACAGGAGGAGGTGACAGCAGGGCACATGCCACGTGGAAATTGGGCAGTTCGTCACAGTCGTAACATTTGTATCCGACGGAGTAACCAAGTGCGTCGCAGCGGCCGCACAGGTACTTGTAATCGTACCCAAACGGCATGATGACCAGGCTCAGCCGGTGACCGTGCACGTGATCATTCATTAGCACAGTCGGCAAGAAATTGTGGTCGAGGTTCGTCTTCGTCAGGCAATCGTGGCAGTCGTCGACGGCGGAGGGCTCCTCCTCCTCCTCGTGACCGCGGCGGCAGTTTACGCACTGAACCTTGGAAGGAAAGTCGTACTGCGGCCGGACTGCTTTCAGATACGGCGGGCACCTCCTCGCGACCAGGTCGACGGCGTCGTCCGGTCTCTCGGCGCAGCGTTTGTGCAACGCGAAGTCGCACTCGGCGCACTTGTAGTAAGGCGTCGAAAACGGCACGTCGTCGTGGACCTCGTGGTCGCAAGCTATGCAAAAAGCACCGTTTACGTCGTCGTTCAGTGGCTTCTCCACCCATTCGTGTAAGTGGTCGCTCCTCCTCCTCCTCCTCTGCTTTCCTTCTTCTTTTTCTTTCGCCGCCGCCGCCTTTCTGGGCGGGGTCGTTTTAATAGGAGGGTTGTGCTTCTGTTGTTGACGTAAAAGTAATTGAATCTTGGACACGATACCTTCAGCTTTCTTCCTGTCGAATGACTCGGCATCGACGTGGACTAATGAGGTACTGTCGTCATCTTCGGCAACGACGTCGTAGTCGCCGTGGCGGTGGTGTTGCTCGACTTCGTCTTCGGGCGGGTGGCATTCGACGACGACGAGGCGAGCGCCGGAAGAAGCTGCGAGTGGGCGCCACGGGGTCAGTGTGTGGGGCCCGTTGATGATGATCGGGATCTTCAAACTGAGCTGAGTCGAAGCGACGCCGTATGCAACATCTAGGGCCAGAGATTCTTCGGTGATGCGGTTGTTGTTGTTGTGATCGTTGGTTTGAGAGGAGGAGGATTTTTTAAGGGTTTGGTGGATGTCGTGAGTGTCGATGAGAGGGCATTTGAGGAATCCTGCCAAGTTGAACGCCACCAGTCTGTTCCATCTTCGCGAGCTTCCTTTCATTGCTATGATCGTCAGTCCGAGATCACTTTTTTCCGTCATCGTTGTCTGAAACAAAGTTTGGTCGATTAGTTGATTGATTGATGAAAAAGAACTACAACTCATGGGCGCGGGCGCGTGTTCATATATAATGTTAGCAAACGACAATTGATTAAACCTATACATTTAATTGGATTATGTTTTAATTTTTTTTTAGGAGAAGCAATGAATATATTACTTACTTGTGATCAGAGGAAACCCCACAAGCAAGCAAGCATTACATTATTTGGACAAAAAAGAGAATGACTATACGTGTCTGGCCCACATAAGTGCTTCTCCTATGAAAAATGTATAACTAGCAAGTAACAAGAATATTGGATTCTAAATACGTAAAGTCATTCAAAATCGATTGAATTGACGACGGATTACTTTGCTTGATTCTTCCAACAAATCTTATTCTCAAACTCAAAGTGATATGTGTCATGAATCACGAGGAGTTAGATATAGCTAGATTCTCCTTACAACTTTCACCTTATATATGAAACCCTTACTCTCGATAGTTTAACAGGCACATAAAAATGGAACAATCCACCCTGAAGCAGAAAAGAATAGTAGTGTGCCGCTAACACTTTGAAATGATCCTCCAAACAGGTATGAACCGGTCCTCTCCTTTTCCATTTGAATTTTCACATGTGTTTTCCACACAATCCTACTTCATGCTCTGCATAATATGTTATAAACCACTTTTTCCTCGTAGTTGATAGAACTAAATTATTTTATATTATTTTGAACTTGTAGATAATCCAACCATTATTTTAAAAATATGTTTATACTTTTTAGTTTTTACTGGTATATAAGCTTACTTCATGATAATGGGTGTGTTTGTTTTCTAAAATTTGACTCTTTTTGTGAATATTGAGAGGAAGACAATATGTGTGGTGAAAGGTTGAGGAAACGTAATGTTGGTGGATTGTAGGCTGTATTTATTATGGTTCAAAAAGCCGCACCTAGATGTTTGGTAATACCAAAACATCTCGTTTAGGTGTTCCGCAACAAGTTAGAAATTAAGAATGTTTGGGGTGGGGTAAGGTAATAGCTAAGCGTTGCTTATGCGTATTTAGATGGAACTAGGTAGTCAAATAACAAAAGGAGAACTTAATATCATCTGAAAACTCACTGTTTTCTCAATATTTTCAATAGCTCAATAACTTTGTCAACTATTGAGTTATGTATGGTTCCATAAATTTGTTAGCTATGTTTCGTATTGTTAAGCGTTAACTAACTTATTAATCATTCGAACAGAAAGTGTTGTAAAACTAATATTTTATTAATCATTTGGTACAAAGTACTATTTTTGCTTCCAACACCTAGACATGCTTAACCGATGTCTAAACAAGCTAGACACTATCTAAGACCCCCAACGTCCAACTTACACTTAGCGCCTTCTCTAAACTGAATTTATTAGTTATTAAAAGAGATATAATTTACGATATGTTGAATAGTTTTGGTTAGTAACAAAGCAGCGAGTTTAATTTGAAAACAGATTTTTAAAATTGTAAATGAAATCTGTTTTGGTGAGATACAATTTTAAATTTAAGTTATTAATTAATAAATTTTGACTATTTGAAGATTAGAAAATTAAAAATATATATGTGCATGTTGATTCTTAAAAATAAATATAATGACAAAAAATTTCATACAGTTGCAGCCGCCAACATATTGGCTCACAACGCCATCAGGGGGAGATCGACGGTGGAGCTGTTCCCGCCGTCCTGGCGGAAGCTCTGGAAAGAATGGGAGCTCCGAGCCCTGGTCTTAATCAGCCTCTCCCTCCAGATCCTCCTCATCATCTCTGGCAACCGCCGCCGGTTCAAAAGATCCTCCTGGCTCCAATTCACCACCTGGTCCGCCTACTTACTCGCCGATTGGGTCGCCGCCGTCGCCTTGGGAGTCCTCCTAAACAATCTCGGCGACCTCTACGAGGACGATCCCAGCAATACCAATTCATCCAAACCCAATTCCGCCGCCGTCATCATAAACCCAGAGACCCAGCTGACGGCGTTCTGGGCCCCGTTCCTCCTCCTGCATCTCGGCGGGCCGGACACCATCACGTCCTACGCGCTGGAGGACAACGAGCTCTGGCTCCGCCACCTGATGGGCCTGGCGGTGCAAACCGGGATGGCGATCTACATCTTCCTCCTCGCCTGGACGGTGCCGGAATCTTCCCGGCTGTCGCTCCTCACTCTGCCGATCTTCGCGGCGGGGCTCATCAAGTACGGCGAGAGGACCTACGCTCTGATGTCGGCGAGCAACAACGAAAGGCTCGATTCGCTGCTGACGGAACCCGACCCGGGCCCCAATTACTCGAAATTCATGGAGGAGCTCACCCTCAAACAGTACGAAGGCTTCAATGTGCAGGCCCAGGAAGTGCCGGAGTCGCGGGTGCTGGTGGTTGTGAACGACGAGGAAGGAATGTCGAACCCGAAGGCTAATAGGCAGGGGAAGGGAAGAGATGAAACAGAGCAGCTCATTTATGCACACCAACTGTTCGACAAATTTAAACGCCTGTTCGTGGATCTCATCCTCAGCTTCCAGGACAGAGACGACAGCCAATCGTTGTTCCAGGACATCAGCTACCAGAATGCTTTCAAGGTGATCGAGATCGAGCTTGGGTTCATGTACGACGAGCTCTACACCAAGGCTAGAATCATCTACACCACCATGGGCTACTGCTTTCGTTTCGTCACTCTATCGAGCACCTGTGCTGCATTGGCGATCTTCTCAGCCTCGGTTGGGACCAAGCGGCCTTACAAGAATGACATGGTGGATGTGGTCGTAACGTTTCAATTGCTGGCATCTGCCATTTTCCTCGAGCTCTACGCGGGACTATCGTTGGTCTCTTCGGATTGGATGGATCTTCTTCTGGTTGAACACAAGATATCAGCTTTACCCAGAAAGTTCATCAGTTTCATCCAAATGCCTAAGCTTCCCAGGTGGTCCAACTCAATGGGGCAGTACAACTTGATCAGCTTCTGCCTCAAAACCAAGCCAAAACTTAGCCAAGAAGTGACCAAATCCCTCTGGATAGACAAAGCGTTGGAGAGCCGTCACGAGACTTCGCTTGCTGTTTCTGAGGAGTTGAAGGAGTTCATCTTCGACCATTTCAAGGACAAGTTTCTGTATCTAAAGCAGAGATCAAAGGGCAGTACTAGTGGTGGCGGTGACGACGAGCTAGCAAGGTACCAGAAAGAGCTCAAATCTGTATGCACTTGGAGAGGCAACCGAGTTCTGGAGCGAATGAATCACCAAGACCTGTTGCCTTGGACCATCGACCTCGAGTTCGATCAGAGCATTCTGGTATGGCACATTGCTACAGATCTCTGCTACCAATTGAATCCTTCGTCCGAATTCGAAGTACACCAACTGAGGGAAAAGAGCAAGCAACTGTCAGAGTACATGATGTACCTATTGGTCACTCGCCCAGTGATGCTGCCGATGGGGATAGGGAAGATAAGGTACATAGACACCTGCGCGGAGATCAGGAAGGTGTTTCAGGACCATGAAGCTGTCGCGGGGAGAATCCGAGGCTATGGAGGTGAATCGAGGAACCCATATAAGTGGATCTTTGATCCAAGTAAGATGCTGGATGGTGAGAGTGGGGCATCGTCGTCGTCGTCCGAGGCATGGGAAGTGCTGTTGAATGTGAACACAGGAGTGCCGGCGGAGAGAGTGAAAGGCGATAGATGCAAATCGGTGTTGTTCGAGGCTTGCCGGTTGGCTGAGAGGTTGAGGCATGGGGTGACGGAAGGCGAGAGGTGGGAGCTGGTGAGCAATGTGTGGGTTGAAATGCTTGGCTTTGCTGCTAGCCATTGCAGGGGAAGTTACCATGCTCAGCATTTGAGGTTGGGCGGAGAGCTTCTCACCCATGTTTGGCTGTTGATGGCACATTTTGGGATCACGGAGCAGTTTCAGATATCAAGGGGACATGCCAGGGCTAAGCTAAGCGTGAGATAGAAGGAAATTTCATGTTTTTTTTTTTATAACTATGAACAATAGTATTGTATGGAAACCCTAAAAATAATTGGTTCTACAAATTTGTTTATGTACATATTAACAATTTTTCCAGATTGTTCACAAATAATGTAAAGGAGGATGAATTTCGTATTACTAAAATCGAGATATAATAAATACTGATAAATGGTCAAGTCTTCAAATCACAGTCGCTCATCAAACACTCCTAAAATCTAATAATAAGATTAGCAAAAATTTTCTACAAGCAAATAAAGTTGACAAATAATCGTCGAAGGCAGTGATTATATTAATATAGATTTCCAACCATGAAAATAAAATTAGACTTTGCACTTATCATCAATTACTATAATTTGAAAAGATATTCATTCAGTGTTGGGCAGGAAGGATAATTAGTGATTTTGTCATATCTTTGATCGATATTGGAGAGGATTTTTTGTAATTTTGAGTGTTTCGTTTTCCAGTAAGGTTATAGGTTAGAGATTCCATGGTTTGAAATTAAAAAATTGGATGGATGGTAGGTCAACCATTATCCACCCACTCAATTTTTTATAAGTCACTTATTTTAGAACTCATATCCACACATAAAAACCATCCATAGCATAATGGATGGTTCAATTGCGGATGTTCACCTCTAAATATATCTTTTTATTTTATTTTAAACAGAATCCCTAACCGAGATTATATATATGATTTGAGTGACTAAACATGTAAAAAAAAATCAAGTTATCTTATCCGTATGGTAGCTACGTTGGGAGTTGGGACAGAAAAACCAGCTCGGTATAGTAACTTATGGCCTCTGGGTAAGGTTTTTGAATTTAGACAACAAAATTTCATATCCCAACAGTGGATCGATCAGCGCATCACCACTCCTCTCCCACCGGCGGCCCGCCCACGATGTGTACGCTGGAGAAGCGCGGGGATATCTTCTTCCTAACGTTGATCGGCGACAGCGACGAGCACCGCCTCAGCCCGGCCGCAATCGCCGACATCCTCTCATCCCTCCGCGAAGCCAAATCGCAGGCCACCAGGGGCTCGGTCCTCATCACCACATCCCAGGGCCGATTCTTCTCCAACGGCTTCGATCTGGGCTGGGCCCGGTCCGCCGGGTCCAGATCCGAGGCCGCCGAGCGGCTCAACCACATGGTCGACTCGTTCCGCCCCATCGTCGCCGAGCTGATCTCCCTCCCGATGCCGACCGTCGCCGTCGTCCAGGGCCACGCCGCCGCCGCCGGGTTCGCCCTCGCCCTCTGCCACGATTACGTGCTCATGAGGAGCGACAGAGGGGTTCTGTACATGAGCGAGGTGGATTTGGGGATTCCCTTGCCGGACTACTTCACCGTGCTGTTTCGGGCCAAGATCGGGTCGGTTTCGGCCCGGCGGGATGCGCTGCTGAGAGCGACGAAGATCAGGGGAGCGGATGCGGCGAGGCTGGGGATCGTCGACGGGGTGAAGGGTAGCGAGGAGGAGCTGAAGGACGCCGGAATTCGCCTGGCGGAGCAGTTGGCGGCCAGGAAGTGGGACGGCGAGATTTACAAGGTGATAAGGCAGAGTTTGTATCCGGAGCTTTGTGGCCTCCTTGGTTTGGACGTTTCCAAACCAGTCTTGTCCAAGCTTTGAAATTGCAGATCTACCCATCACGCATCCTCGGCTTTAATCTTGCAGGTGTGATCTGAAATTGGATTTGGGTAATGGGGATTTCTGTTTGCTGGCCCTGCTTTTCCCCCCTTGTATCTCAGTCCCATTCTGGTGTATCTCTGGGTTGCTTCTTAATAAATTTTCACCTGCATATCATAAATGGTTGATTACCCGAAACCAAATGATGGGATTGGGAAAGGAAGCTGTTTGAATTGGTTTCTGCAGCAATGGGGCTGAACCCTGATTGCCTTAACAATATAGGTTTTGCTCGAAACTCGAAAGGCTGCTGCTTCTGGGTTGTCCTGAACCAGACAGCAGCTTTCTTATGGTGCTTCTGCAAGGACCAAATGGGAGGTCTTCCAGGTTCTTTTGTGATTGTCAGTGTGTTGATGCGAAGAAGCCCACAACAAATGCTCTTGTTTTGAACCTGGGAAACTTGCTGCAATGGAGTCCTTACTTAAACTTGTTGGTTCTGAATCTCAGTTTTGGTGGCAAATGTGTGTTACCGTCGATCTCTGATGACGAATCTAGAAGCTCCTGGGAAACTACCGTGAATGAGTTTTGCTTGAACATTACTATGCCAAATGGCTTTAATGGGATCTCTGGGCTCGAGCAATTTCAGGGCAGAGAGAGAGAGAGAGATGGGAAATTGTCTCCTCCGCCCTCCCTCTCGCATAAACAACGATAGTTCGGAAGCGACACGCCACTAATTACCCTCATTTTCCAGCATCCCATCATCAAATCAGGATTAGGTCGAACATAAATTTGATATTATTTATTCTCTTCTTCTTGATCGGACCCATTAAATTAATCGAGTTGCAAATATCTCATAAACTCATTGTCAGCTCAATGCCCAATAGGACATCAGTCCAGCTTGGTTTACAATAACCAATTCACGTCTTTGTCATTTGTCCATGTGCATATCCATTCAATAATTATGCATTTTCTATAAAAAAAACATTAGATAGGAAACACGAGGAATAAGAAAATAAACATTTGTGTTAGTATTACATTGTAACAGCCGTCTGAGAACGCCATTATTTGGGGAGGAAGAACAGAGGCCAAGGGCCAAACTCTTAGCTGTAACTTAGTCTATTCTACTTTGCATTTTGCAATAATAATACGATTCGATAGCAATCCTGCCGACAACCATTAGGGGTTGCAGGCTTTGTAGTTAGGCTTGGAAGATTATCACGAATCTAGAAGTGGACCAAGTTTGCATTATGCGTGTCATAGTTTAAAGGCTTAGAAAGATCCTAGATGTTGCCAAAAAGATACTTGTTCCATGGACTACTCTAAATACCCTCTTTATATTTATGGGCTAGCTCTAATTTGATTATCATGAAAATACTTGTTTGTTTCATGGAGTGCCCTAATGGCTTTGTATATATAATGGAAAAAAATATACTAATGGATAGAGATTCTCGGGTCGTCTAGCATGAGGACAAATGAAATAATCTGTGTGTGAGAGACTCAACATCTCTAAAAACTAATCACATTTGATGATATTGAATTTTACAATCACATATAGAGAGTGATACCGACGCATTTTGGACTAAACTTGATCCCTAGGATGTGGTTACTTATCACCGGTCTTGTCAACCAAGAAAGTTAAGACAATGAACATGAGGTTGTGGACTTGTTGTAGTCTTAAAGATGATCACGAATCTAAACATGGAAACAACTGAATTATGACTATAGTTTGTGGACCAAACATTGTAGTAGATATTGCCAAAAAGATGTCTTGTCGTATGGAATATTGATTATGGACCACTCACCACTTCTAATTACTCTATGTACACACCTAGTCTAATCAACTACCCACGTCCCACTAGTCTCAATCTCATTTTACTAGCATCGTCAAATACCAAATAATCATGATTAGCACATGCAGACCACACAAATTACTGAACTAAATTGTAGATTATATTGCACAAACGTTTTTGATATACACATCACTTCCAAATACATTCTTCTTGGATATGAAAGCTAAACCCCGTCGGTGGCCAACAGGATAAGAGTCCAATCCATCCACAATGGCAGGCAGGCAGGCAAGCTTGGGACAAAAATGATGACCAGCAATGTCATCATCACAGGCTAAAATCTCTTTCTCTTTCTCTTTATAACTTGACTGGCATTCAGTCTATACGGCGATTCATCACCAGTTTCACAAGCCGTTTCTGAATTCTTCTTTACAGTTTATACAAAGGAAAACGCTTTCTTCCAAAACGAAACCAGCCCGGTTTCTGGTCAGAACACGATGAGGCACAGCAGTGCGCAGCAGAACAAGAAGAAGGAGATCCTGCTCAGGGACTTGTCCGCCTGTATATCCTGCCTTCTCAACAACCTCGAACCGCCACTCTGCGTAAGCTGATACGAGTTCGGGTAGGCGTGTAAGCTATCCGAGTTACCAAACACCCTCGCGTACACAACCTCCCCGAGCACCCCGTATCCCGGGTGGTACTGGAAACTGGTCGGAGGCATCGACGAGGAAGTAGCAGTTTCGTCGAAGCTAGCGTACCCCATCGGTGGATTGTGGTGGTGATTGCCCCGGTAAGGGTTTCGGTAAGGAAGCTGCTGACCTGTTTGAGTGCTGCTGGTTGCAAGAGCCTGGGTAACGCAGGCTGGAGGTCGAGGTGGGATGGGAATGGCACTGCTGCTGGGGGTCTTTCCTTCGATCTCTTCTTCTGTGGACTGTCCTCTGCCGTAGAGGGGGACCATTGTGGTGTGGGATATATCGGCCTTGCAGACGGGGCACTGTGGGTGCTCGTCGGAAGGAAGGGAGGCGCTCTGGACGTGGAGCCACTTGTAGATGCAGGGCCAGCAGTATAAATGGCCGCAGAGGGTGACGACTGGCTCTCTGGCGAACTCAAAGCAGATGTTGCAGTCGAAGCCATCGTTTAAACTGGGTTCTTCTGAGGCTGTTGTGGCTGCTGCTGCACTTGCCACTGATTTCCACTCCTGCGGGAAGAATTGCTGGAATGCCATTGATTGGCCACTGGGAGAGATTCGTTCTTCAGCAGTACCAACTATTTGGCTCTCTGCAGCAGAGAAAGGATGATCAGACTGACTTCCACAACAGTAGGATGAAACCTCAAAGGAAAGCCAGACAAATTTACCAAAACCGAGATGAAGGATGGAAATTTCAGAGCAAATCGAACATAAAGGCCCACAGAAAGCACACATGAATAGCTAGAGAAGGTAATGGAGGCAAGGAACTTGGGATCCCAACCCGAAAGGCGGAAATTGATGAACACACACAGTTAGATGATTTAGATCTCAATTCTTCGAGGAAGATGGTCAATCATAGTGATGATCACTACCAATCGATTGAGTAATTAGTTAAACCTGAGTTAATGAAACCTAAGGGAAGGTAGAACTTAAGTCCAGAGGAACAAATCAGTTACACCTAACTTTCTCATCCTCTTTAGAAGGCTTGTCAATGGTTGGCCAGTAGCTAACTATAACCACATGGTCTCTAAACAAGAAACCCATCACCATATGTAAGAAAGAAACCATTTTTCTTCGTTAAGTGTAAGCATTAGGTTCTAGGATGACAACCTGTGCCCAGCAAGCAATAAGAAACCATAGGTCAAAATCTTTTCTAAGAACCAACGAGAATCGAATCAGCAACGTGAAATGAGATCCGGGCTACCAATGAACCTAGAACATGACCAGTGACCACCTATTCTAAACCTAAGACTAGATGCTTGGTTTGAACCTCATTCACTCACGGCTGGAACAGAGAGAACAAAACTATGAACAGATTCCCTACAGGAAACAGTAGTTTTCTCTCTGAAACCCCCCCATCACCCTCACAAGACACCAATCAAGCCACCATGATCGAATAGACAAACACAATATCAAGTCCCCCCAAACAGAATGAACGAAAGAACCTAGGGGCAATCTCATTTCAGCTGGAAATCAAGAATGAACAAGATCGTAGACGGACGGATTACTCGACAGAAATCAAACGAGGAACACAAACCATAGCTAATTCCCTCAACCGGATGAACGAAAAAACTGAATGAGCCGGGAAACCGCTATCCGCAAGTTCGAGAAACGGCGATAAACAAACAGAGGCGCGCCGAGATCCACGGCCTCCAGATCGCCATTGGACAACACGACAGCGCCACAATCACAAACGGAGCAGAACCGAAATAGAACAGAAGAATTAATCATCCGAGAAGAAACAAGAGGGAGCCGGCGGGGTACCTGAAACAACAAGGCAGGGAGCGGAGTCAGGGAGCTGAACGGAGATGATTGGCGGTGGCGGTGGAAGGTCAAACAAGCCGGCGGCGTGCGGAGGGAGATTTTTTCTGGGGAGCGGAGAGGCGGGCGGGGGAATAGGAGAAACAATGGCGATGCGATGATGGCTCCGTTTGTGGGGTTTTATAGATAGAAGGAATAATTCCCTCATGACCTTTTTTTTTTTAATTTATGTCTCTGTCTCTCTCTCTCTCTCTCACCAGCTCCTCCGTTGTCCAATGGCGGAGGAGGCAAGCTGTGGATCCCACCGGCGAGCGGTGACGTGGCAGTATCTACTAACCGCGATATGCGCGTGTTGCCCACTCTCCTCGCGTCAACTCATAAGATCAGCTCGTCACGCGGACTTGCGCTAATTAATTTAATAGTCTCTTTCAATTAATTAAATAAAATAAATTTATTTATCTAACCCAGATTCTTATAAAAAGTCTCTTGCCCCGGAGAATTACTTGGTATTAGAGCAAATCAGGACAAAAACCTCCCTAATTGCGCATCCTACAAAGGTGTAGGACCTAATAATTAACATAATAACATTCCGTGTAATGTACAAAGATGTATTTTTTTTGGTAGAATATACAAAGATGTATTAATAAATAATAATAAATTTTGAAGCAAATATGAAACTTAGGTGGCTAGGTGCCGCTTCTTAACAATAAATTATCGTTTTAACTTTATTTAATGGTAAGTGATAACAAGAGTTGTTTATTTCTTGATATAATACTTTTATTTAGATAATAGTAAGTAGCCACTTACTCCAACCACAATGATAAATGTTTTTTTTTCGAATGAATTTTAATGTTTGAACTTTGAAACTCGTTTTTTTAATGTTTTGTGATTTATCAAAACCATATGAGGTTGGTTGGATCCACAAAAGAAGTAGCTGACGGTGAACTGTGAACCCACAGCGATTGGTTGTTCTTCTGGAAAAAAAATAAAAACTAATGTCAATAGAATCTATTATTGTAAGTATCTTTGCTTACAGTTGTTCTTTAGCAGTTTCCTTGGTTGGAGAAAACTAAAAGCCATAGGTTAAGATAAATTATTTTCATAATATAGTGGTTTTTCTGTTATAAGGGTGATTATTGGATTGAACTCTACGTTTGAACTTGTGGAATTTCCTTACGTGGTTGACGAATAACCAAAGTTACAATTGTAACTCAGTTGAAAATTCGTGTTAGATTAAGCTTCATATAGAAGTTTGTTGGGAGAAAAGATTTCATTTTCACAACAACATATACAATGCAATTGCCTTCCTCATTTCTCCTAGACCATGTCTTCTCTTCTAACCTCGAACGTTCTAATGAACTCGTCATTGTTACTGTCAAATATTACTTCAAGCGTGTCATCATGTTATGTGACAATGTTGTAAATAGGACTACAAGCTGATCAAATTGGGCTATTCTGACAAGGTGGTTGATTTGTTTAATGTTCTCTAAACTTAATTATCCTCAAAGACAAACTTGACCCAATTTCATCACGATAACAACCAATTCGTATTAACATGACAACAACCCAAATCCTTCCTCGCTTCATAAATTGATTAGCCAATAGCCATCACAAAAACAAGGCAAATTGGAAACATGAAAAATGAAGTCTTTGGTATCACATTAAATAATTGGGTTAGTGTTAAATTAAGGAGATTAATATGTAGCGGACTTTGGTCCCTGTCATGCACACATACAACAAATGAGAAAGTTCTCGAATAATGTTAAATCATTAGATTAGGTAATGTTGATAAAAATGTTTAACCCCCCTAACTCTACATTGTATTTGAATACTATATTATTTGGCAGAGAGAGAGAAGCCAATTAATTATAGACACCTTTGGTGACCATAAATTTGCAAGTCAAAAATTGGATCCCGGAAGTTCTTAAACAATATTATTTTCTCCAAATCTTGTAATCAGTATTTACTATTTAGTAAAATATGAATCAGGTCATGAAAAAATTTAATTGATTAATAATTATTCACTTACAGTATTCAAATTCAAAACCGTTTCTTCTGTAAAATGCCACGTAGAGTACCAAGAAGGCTGAACGAGCAGCACCTTATCATGGACACCACCGCACCCAATCCTCATCCCCGGGCAACAGAACTTTTCCATGTTTCAAAATTTCGAAAAATTGTAAAGAAAGCGGTATAAGAGCGCGCGCTCCCCCCTGTGCCCTGGCAAACAGAAGAAGCTCACACCAAAAGCTCACATTTCATCTCCAGCAAATCCAGTTTCTCCCTCTTTTCTCTCCTCGATTTTCATCTCCGATCAGCGCAATGTCAGCCAGGAAGGGAAGCTCCAAGAAGCGCGCGGCCGCTACGCCAACCGCTAAGTCGGCGCCGCCGCTGTCCAAGTTCCGCGTCCAGGAAGATTTCGATCCCGATTTCTCGAGGTTCTCTGTCTAATTACAGTTTCATTCCGGTGCTCCTTTAGTGATTTATTTTCGCGATGGTTTCCCTAACTAGTTCGATGACAATTGCAGCGATCTCAAGGGAATCATGTCGGCACTGCACCAGTTCAGAGAGAAAACAGAGAAGGAGGGACAGAAGAAGAAGGAGGAGACGATTTCCAGGTATTTCAGCTCTCTCTAGGTTTCGTTTCTTTCTCTTCTGATGAATGACGAATCGTTGATTGGTTTAGATAGATTAGGTTTCTGTTCGAGCATTGTTACTCTGTGAACTGCAAGTACGACTGTAAAAAAAAAAAAATCATTCGGATCTCGCACATACGGTAGTTTAGAATTTTCAGTAGCTTCTCATTCGTAACTTGATTTCAATTCTGAATCGCAATTTCAAGCTGATGATATTGTGGTTACGAAATTCCGGCTCCTATTGCTCGGCGTTTTGAGTTTGCGGTAACTTCATCATGTTCAATCGATTAGTAGAATACTGTTTGGTTTTGCGCCCCTCTCTGTCGACGAAAGGGGAAACCGAGTTTCTTAGATCTGTTGACGTAGAATCGTGAGGTTCTTAGATCCGAAGCGCTTGTTTGTAATTTTGAGAATTTCGCTTCGGATTTCTAGTTCAGTTATGGAAACTCTCGCTCCATTGCTTTGACTTCTATTTGCCTGTTGAATTGAACACAAAGCATGGATGAAACTCTGGCTACGTCCGCTGCTTCTGGTTTCTAAATCCGAGAGAACGTTTGATTTACCCCCAAGGCTATCAGTTCGATTGTTGAATTAGGCAAAATTTTAAAGATGAAACGCCGGTGTGAGATTCTACGTTCTTCTTTGACTCATATGTTCATGTTTCTTTGATAGTGTTGCTTCTGAGATTAGGACGATGCTCAACGATTTGAAGACAAAAATTGAGAAGGATAGGTAAGTCAGACTCATACATCTGATGTCCTTATCTTACTGCTGCGAATTAGGGATGTGTAGAGGTTCACCCATGCTTTCTGTTCTTATTCCAGGCAAAGCTTTGGTAAGGCGCTTCAGAAGAATTCGAAAGAGGTGAGTGCTTAATTAGGTCAATGATCAGTGGAGATTCTCTGACTTGTGGTACTCATGTTTTTTGTCAAATGAAAATCTTCAGTGCGAAAATTATATCAAGAGCGAGTCTGCCAAGATTCAGGACATCTACGAGAAGTTTGCCAAGGAGAAAGCAGCTCACATGCAGTCAATGCAAGGTATTCCTCCTCTCTGCCCCAGCCATTTTCTTCCCAGTTCCCTTTCCATGGCGGTGATCCTTGTTCAGCCTGTCGCTGATTTCTCATAACTCTTTGCTTCTTTACTGGGTTGGCAGATACCATGTCCAAATTTGAAGAAGACAAGGAGAAGCTGATGATGCGATATGAACAACTGAGTAAGCTCTCTTTCTACAGTTCCGCGAAATTTACAGCACAGTAAATCAGTAATTTTGATTTCCCTTGTTTTTATGGGTCAACAATACATCAGAGAAGAAAGAGAAGAGCATGCTAGCCGACCACGAGAAAGCTTGCGAGGAGAAGATTGCTAAACTGGAGGAATCTCTCAAGAAGAAAAAGCAGGCATGCCCAGCAACTTCTTGTCCACCCACCGCCCATTCAAAAAAATCAAGCATGGGCATCAATTGGTCGCCATATTATAATGACCTAACTTTTTCTCGTTGCCTGTGGGGGATAGGACGGCAAAACGTTCAGCATCCTAAAGAAAACGCTGGGCACTTTCCTGGACGACGCCTCCGATGAGGACTTCCCACCAGAGGATTGAACTGCGACTCTCTCTCAAACTATCAAGTAAGAAAGCTTTATTCCCTAATCCCTACTGTTTACTGTTTAGCATATGATTAAACCTTAAACCAAATCTTGCCTTTTTAATCATACCTTAAACCGAATGATTAGTCATTCCTCTTCTCTCTGTGAACATATCTTATCCTTTCATATGATTAAACCTTAAACCAAATCTTGCCTTTTTAATCATACCTTAAACCGAATGATTAGTCATTCCTCTTCTTTCTGTGAACATATCTTATCCTTTCATAGTGTGATCCAAGTAAGCTAAATGGGATCTTAGGTATGCCTCAATTGTTTATTCTAAGGTGTCAGAAAGTCCTGGTATCGATATTAAACAGGCCTGGCGGTGCTAGCTAATGAGTGAATGAATGATTACGCTACATGTTCATGAAGGAAAAACATAATCTGTCATTTTGCTGATAATAAAAAACAGCAAAATCTAGAATAAGCCAATTTCACGTAATAATCTAAGTTGGACGATAGAATTATAGACAGCTGTCACTGTTGACAGCCAAAGATATTTTACATTATCAGTAATCAAATCTGAAATTTATGGGCGACAAGTTGCTCCCTTTCTAGTTTGCTTTAGGAGAACTCTAATAATAACTCTACTTGCTGTTCAAGATAAGCTTTTTTAAGTCACGAAGAGTTCTTCCAGAACCGACACTGCACTAAATTGAACATAGCCCAAATGAACCAACGTGTAGCTGTAGGACAGTCAGCATAAGCATATTTTATCTTGTTCCTCTTAGAGATTGATTCGTGGCGCCCATTGTTCCCAACTCTAACCACCACCAGGAAAGTTTAATTCCTAGAGAGACTGCACCTTCACCTTCAGCATAGACACCGAGCCAAGTCACCACTGGCGGCAAAAGAACTAGATAAGTAGATCTAAAGCTAACCATCTGAGCGAAATCCCAATAGGCATTCATAACATCTCTGGACTTGGTCATAGAAGCAGCCTACACAAAACCACTACTTCAGAGGAGACTCTTCACAGTTCCTTCTGAGCTGCACAGTTTTTAGGAGGTAGGCTTAGTCAGCGGAACAGGATTGTGGGGAGGTGGGGCAGGGAATCCCTGTATTACAGAACATAGCGGGCGATGGCTCTGATCCTGCACATAATGTATACACGAATCGCAGTCAAGCCTTTGTCGGTACGATAAATCTGGTTAGAGAAACAAGAGTCGCTTTATCAAGTTCAATGATGAAAACATCTCAATTAACATTCAAACAAAGAACATAACTTAAAGAACCATCCATAATGCGGAAAAAAATTCCTTGTCTTCATGTCTCTGTGTGCTTCTGCTAATAATGCCTATCAGTGTCAGCCACATTGTACTTTAGGCTTTGCAGGTTGCTAGTTATAGTCCAGAATCCAGACTTGTTTTGAGAAGCTAAATTGTTTCTGTAGAGGAACATCCACCCAATGCTTATCTTGACCTTTATGTTACCACGAGAAAATGAATACACCCTTCAATACTTCTTCTTCTAGGATATCATTAATGATCTTTAAACACTATCGTGGCATGTATAACGAAGCATGTGTAGCCTTGCATATCACAAGTTAGCAGTCACCACAGTTTGAAATGCGTCAAAGGATACTAATTAACATTGCATAAATCGAGCACAATGAAGAGTCGTCTGACATACTCCGATTGATGTTATCCTCTGGCAGGAGGAGCAGCGAACCGCTAAAGATCCATACGGGTACATAAGCAGCAGTGGACAATAGGTACAATTTACAAGTCCAACTTGGTGAGCTACAACATAACAAACAAAGCACATTATTCCCCAACAGTTATAATCACGTTTTTACTACTATTCTTAGAACTCCCTCCGTAGATACTATGCTGATTGCTGAACTGTTCGATAAGAGTATCTAAATTTTCAGAGCCCTGTATAAGTTCTGAAATCTGAATAGTTAGTTGCTTACTTCCACATATGAAATTGAAAGTTCATCACATAAGGAGGACTGGCGAAAGAAAGAAAGAAGTAGACGCTACAGCTAACCTTGCAGCACAAAGTTGACAGCGTTGCAGCAAATGCATTTCACATGCTTCTCCCCTTTCTGATAGGCTAGAAGTTGTTGGCATGAACCACAAACCATCTGAGCGATCTCTGCATCCCCACAATAGACAACAACAGTTTTAACAGAGCATAAAACCGCCTAAGTTTCCTAAGGCACGTGGAACTTGTCCGACGAGAAATTCGACCTAATTCGAGTTTTTTTTAGTATACGGCGGCTCACCTGACCACCGTGGCTGAAGCATAGGTTCCCTCGGTGTGGTGGTCGGCGGTGGCCGTGGCGGTGGCGAAGCAGGTTCTACCTCCGATGGGTTCGATTGCCACCCTGGCGGTGGGCCTTCGTCGTCGTCGTTCACCATAGATTCTTCTGCTCCGTTCCTCCCGTTCTCAGATTTTGCACAAACAGAGATCTCGAACGAAAACGAAGACGCAGAGAACTAAACTAGTGTAGGTCGTTTTGGCGAGGAACGTGGCGTTTTGACTTCAAAAGTGAAAGCGTAAATCCGGATTTCAAACGTGGCAGCGGTTTATTGGATGGAAGCCCCACAGCTTGGATTTGCTGACTTGGCTGGCTACTCAGTTCCATTGTTTTCATGGAGGAGACAGATTGCCTTGTTTTGGTTCGGACGATTCAGGGAGAAAGAAGGCCAAAACTTGCCAGACAGTGGTGCTGTGCAGCAGCATCAGACCTTCCATGAGTGCGCCAGTGGTAGGATTAATGCTGCATGCTCGTCGGGAAGCAAATTCAGCAGCTTGTCAGATGGCACAATGTAAAACGCGATGAAATGAGTGTTGTTTGAGTCGATAGACCCCCTTGATTCTCGTTGATCAAGTCCGACGGGATGATTGTAACCGTCGTTTCTGCTTAATGATATTTGCAGCAGGTTTCTATAGGTCAAAAAGTGTCATTAGTACAGACCAATCTACAGATGTTGTACTACAAACAATCGTGTTCGAAAGCTAACTGCCTTCGAAAGCCACACAACATTGGAATCTATATGCATCCTTTTTTTACAGCTTAGTTTCCACTGCCAATCCAATACTTTTGTAGGGCATAGCACACTTTAAAAAACATGAAGGGAAGAGGAAAGTTCTGCTTAGGAACTACCATTAGTCTTCCACAAACCCTTCACTTCTGCGAAGAAGTCTGAAACATTTGCCTGGCAGTCGAACTAACCACGTTTTACTGGGCTGTCTGCAGAACCCTTAACCTCTCACTGAGACACAGCTAGCTTCAAGTATGGCTGTGAGGGGCATCAGCGTCTGGGACTCCAACATCGAGTTATAGTTCTGATTCGTCCGCTTCAGTTCTCATTACAAAGCTGGGGAACGACAAGGTTATGTCCCTGCGAATAGGAGGAGAATGATAGTACTTGTATTACATTTATGTCCACAACCAAAACCAAACTGTTAACTTGAGCCAAAGCACAAACAAGCAGCAGAGATGTTTCTGAGAGTTTTCGAGAGTGTACATTAAATAGGGAAGCGTCATGTTCTTCAGTAGAGACGGGTTCTTCTCCACGTAGTTTTCCCACTCTTCCTGATCAATCTTGCCATCGCTTTTTGAATCTGCTTCATTGAATGTCTGGAGGACAGCGTATAAAAGAAACATACATGGATAATAAACACTAAGTAGTATGATTTGGATGAAATATGTGTTTATGCAGCAGCCGTGGCTGACGCTCTCTATACCTTGTTCACAATCTGTTCAACGACATCGTCGGAGAGAGCTAGGTCGGATTCTTTCAGAAGAGCCAGTACCATATCTTTCAACTGTCCAAAATGGCACAGCAAGTTTGGACTCTAGAACACTTCACAATCGCATAAAATGCCACATCCCCACTTCCAACAAAAGTAGCAAGTAATGAACATTTACCTCTTCACGCTCGATGTAACCAGTGTGCCTTAAATCATACAACTTGAATGCACCTGAGCAGAAACAGGTGAAACAATTTTATTTAGACGCTAAAACAAGGAACATTCTATCACCCTTATAAAATGGAAAATAAAAAAAACAAAGAACATTCGAGCAATGAGCAACCCAAGGTAAGTGTGAGGAGTTCTGCACAAATTATGAAGATAAGGAACATAAAGAACCCCTCCCCAAGAATCTTTCATATCTTACTCTTGATTTTCACTGCATTAGGTGTTCTGGGGTGAAAGACGCTCAACGAGTCCACAAACTCCTCAAACTCGATGTGCCCATCTCGGTTCACATCAAACATATCAAATACCTGTAAAGAGTGCCAGAGACATTGGGGGAAATGATCTAAGCACCTTTGGTTTGCAAGTGAACCTGGAGATAATCGTAACGAAAGCTCAAAGCCCTTGACAGTTAAAAGATAGCACCATCATCCACATTCCACACCATACCCTGTCAAAGAAGAGGTTCTGTTTGCTTGTATTTCTGAAAAGCGCATATTGGAATTCTTCCTGCAGTGCCCATATGATGCAAAGATAAACTGTCAATGGAAGAGATAAAGATAGTGGCTCAAGGGAAGGAATCAATCAATCAAAACTAATTTACCTTCTGTATATGACCATCTTGCACAATGGAACTGCCTAACTTCTTATAGAGCTCATACAACGACTCCACCTCATTCACAGTGACTGTCGCAGAAAGAAGGGCCAATAAGTAAGTAATTCATGTCTGTAGTGTAGGTAGTGTTCTTGTGAGCATTTCGTCGAACAGTTAGAGAGCATCGGGCATCGCCAGAGGCAACTTACGTACATGGGGTTCTCGCGGCAAGACGCCTAGAGATTTCCAATCCAGGTTCATCCAACTGATCTGCCGGCTTCGAAGAACTGCAACCCATCTCACTGCAACTAGAAAGCAAAAAGTAAGGGGGGCAAAAAGGCACAAACTTTAATCTCCAAAATGCCGATTTCTCAGAGCAGATGAGCTTAGAGCTTACCTCTGATTTTTCTTCTAGCTCAGCTCCTCACCTTGGACGTTCGACCGACGGCGACGGGAGCAGTTCCCTCGACAGCGGCTGCGGCTTTCAGATAGCTTCGAGCTTCGCCCCCTCTTTACTTTTCGTTCCCGAGTTCGAATGGAGGAAAAGGTCCGTCGGTGGGAAAGTGTCAAAGTGATAGAGCCGCCGTACGAGAAATTTGTTTTAAAGTTCGTCTGGTCTTTTATTACGACTTACGAGTTGATGATCTTTGACCTATAAACTATCTTTTCACGGTTTAGCTGCAAAATCGTCTACTTTTTACAGAATTGCTTATTTCAGATTTACTTTGGCACATTCAAAATTCACTTGCATGCCGAAAGACAAAGACCAGCTTGTGGCTCCTCAGTCAGAAGATCCTACCGTAAAGCAACGGCCTGCTCATTGGCAAGCACCTTACCTCGACATAAGGGGGGAAAAAGTAGGAGAAGTTTTAACCAATAAATATAAAATCGTATTGAAGGTTGTAAATGAAAAGTCAGCAATACGATACTTTGTGCTGAAATCGTGGTTTTTTTATAATTGGTTGGTTTTGAATCAAGGATAGGATGAGATTGTATCCATTTACCATGGAGAAAAAGCATTTAACGTTATTCACATATTTTATGCGGAACAACCGAAAGCAATGGAACGAAATGAGCATGTAATGATCTTTACAAATAAATTTGTGGAGATGTTGTGACATAAGGCCCTTTTTGGTATCAAATCATGTTTTGTTGGAGATCATGATTAATCTCATTGAAATTGAGCTGCCCAAATGCTTCTATAGACATCCAGTAGTATGAACACAGAGGTTTCTATGTGCTGCTTTACCACTTTAAGACACTTTGAGATCCAAATTTCTACCTAAACAGGAGAATTTTCTATACCAAACTAAGATGGGTGCATGGTGCATACCCACTTCCATGAACACAATCATTTTGCAAAGCTTTGGATGCAAGGGAAGAGTGGAAGAAGGCATGTGCCTAAGTTATGGATGTATGAAGTTTTGTTCAAGTCAGTTCATGCCTACCCACGAGCCCTTGAGTGCAGCCCAAGTAACTGTTACTTGATTTTCTCACCTATCTGTCTTATTGACCACAATTTTCCCCAGTAGCATAAATGTGAAGACATTGCAGTTAGCTAATTTGACTGATGCTTCTTCTTTGGTCTTTCAAGGGCTAACTAATACAGCACACTATGAAATATCAAATCCGGAAACCAACATTACTTCGACAACACGGCAAGACATGATAAGAAAAAGAGGTCTTTATGCAGCACCAGAGATGGCATCTCAAAGAACCTCTACAATCTCTTCTACTACACTTTCGTAGTAATAGAGAATGCAAAACAGCAAAAAGAATGCCGAAGAACAAATGGTCAGTGACCAATCCAGGACTTCGACAGTTCCCACATCAAAGAAGGTAGAAAGTAATGAACTTTTACCTCTTCGCGCTCAATGTGGCCAGTGTGTCATCAATCACACAACTCGAACACACCTGAGCAGGAACAGGCGAATGAGACAAGAAAACGAGGTCCATCAGCGAGTAACCCAGCAAACTTGAACTAATGAGTAATGAAGAACTTGAGAAGCACAAAGTATCTATCCACCCAGGAATCTTTCATGTTTCTTACACTTTTTTTTTCCGCTGCATAAGGAGTTCCAGGTTGAAAGACACTCTAGGAGTCCAAAAGCTCCTCAAACTCGATATGCCAATCACGATTCACATCAAACGGATCAATACAAGTAAAGAGATGTAGAGACATTATGAACCCCAATAAATGTAGCATCAAAATTATCTTCTCATATCAGAAAATGATCCAGAATCATTGATTGCCAAGTGAACCTGAAGATAATTATAATGAAAGCTCAAAGCGCTTGACAATTGAAGAGAACATCATGGATACCCAAAAAGAAGAAGAGAACATCATCATTCATTACCATACCCTGTCCAAAAAGAGGCTCTATTTACTTAGCATCCCTGAAAAGTCTGCATATTCGAATTCTTCCTGCATTCCTCATACGTTGCAAAAAGGAAAATGCTAGTTGGAAGAGATAGGAGATAGTGGTATCCCTTTCTCCAATTGCACAAGGGAATCAATCAATTGATTAGCCTTCTGTAAGTACACGACCGTCTTTGCCCCAATGACACTGCTCAACTTCTGATAACAGAGCTCGTACAACGTCTCCAACTCGTTCACAGCAACGGTCAAAAAAGAGAAGGGAGGGCAGAAGCAGTACTAATAAGGTCTGTAAGCAAGCATTCTTTTAGGCATTTCGTCGAACAGTCAGAGGGCATCGAATTAGACGACGCCAAAACCATCCCAGCCTTCAAAGAAATGAAAACCCAGTGCAGCTAGCTTGGCTGGCTCCATAGCAACCTCGGGAGCGCCATCCTTCCTTCCGTCGGAAGATGGGAACTCCACAGCCGGCGCCGGTCAATGGCCCGATCGGTTACCCGGCGGGTTTCGAGGGGTGGCAATGCAATATTCCTCCTGCTAGCTTAATCAGACCGGTCCAAAGACTCTCCTTAGTCCTTTCCTTTGTACTTTACTTCTTCGTTACCCCTCTCTCTCTCTCTCTCTCTCTCTCTCTCTGGACCCCACCCGCTCCAACCGGCCCACCCATAAATAAGCCCATCCACCCAAAAACCCATTCCCCCACGACCCGTCGCTGGGCCCACCGCCGGACATTAGGCCCATCCCTCACCTTTCTTTATATATATTAAACAATTCCCCCCCAATTCTCTTCCTCCTTCTCCTTCCTGTGCTTCCCAGTTCCCACCCAGCCAGCAGCCTTTCTCTCTCTACCCGTCTCTCTCTCTCTCTCTCTCTAACCTGGCCTCCTTCTCCAACCTTCTACTGCCCCAATCTTCAACCGAAGACCGTTTCTTTATTATTGATTATTCACATCTCCCAAGCAGGAAGCTTATCCCCAATCTCATCCCTCTCCCCTACCCAAAACAAAAAACTAATCGAGAAAAACCCACCTCACCACCTCCAGAAGAAATCCAAAATCCAAATCCCAAACATCCCTTTCCGAGTTCCAGAAAAGGAAAGAAGAAAACCCCATGAAAGGGGAATATCTAGACCACTCACCTCATCCTCCTCCTCCTCCGGCGAAGAAGCATGAACCCACCAACATGTTCTCCAAGATCCATTCTCACCACCATCAGCAGCAGCACCCTTTTCCCCCACAGCACCACCACTTCCACCTCGAAGAAACTTCCGATGAACCTACGCCGCCTCCCGCCCAACCCCCTTCCAAGGCGGAACCAACCTCGGCCGGCGACGGCGCCACCATCGAGGTCGTGCGGCGGCCGAGGGGCCGACCACCTGGATCCAAGAACCGGCCGAAGCCGCCGGTCATAATCACCCGGGAACCGTCCGACCCGCCCATGAGCCCCTACATCCTCGAGATCCCCGGCGGCGGCGACGTCGTCGACGCGGTGGCGCGGTTCTGCCGCCGCAAGAACATCGGGTTGTGTGTCCTCACGGGTTCGGGCACGGTAGCCAACGTCACGCTCCGTCAGCCGTCCACCACCCCCGGCGCCACCGTAACTTTCCATGGGAGATTTGATATCCTTTCCGTCTCCGCCACTTTTTTCCCTTATCACGGGGCGGCGCAGCCGCCGGTTCCCAATTCGTTCTCGATTTCGCTCGCGGGGCCGCAGGGGCAGATCGTCGGCGGCATTGTGGCTGGGGGTTTGGTGGCGGCGGGGACGGTTTTTATCATCGGGGCGACGTTTAGTAGTCCGAGTTTTCACAGGCTGCCCGGGGTAGATGAGCAGGAGGGGAGGAGCTCCGGATCCGCCGGCGGCGGAGGCGGTGGTGGTGGAGAAGCGACGGCATCACCGGCGGTTTCGGGTGCGGGCGGGGCGCAAGGAGATTCGTCTGGCGACGGGGTGTTGCAGCCGGCGTACAGCGAGGCGATGTGGCCGCCGAACTGCAGGCCACCGTCGCTGTCCAGGACTCCGGTGGCGGCGGCTCCTCCCGGTGGAGGAAACGAGATCGTATGGGGTGACATCACGCCGCCGTCACCGTCATCCAGCAGGGGGCGACACGCGGGGAGCGAGATGATGTGGCCGCCGCCACCGAACAGCAGAGCAGGGCGATCGCCACCGCGAAGCGAGATGATGTGGCCGCCGAACGGGAGAGCGCCGTCGTCCAGGTCGCCACCGCCGCCTCCGGCGACTTTCTAGGAGAAGAAGCAGGCCGTAGTAGAGTCGTCGTAGTAAAGGTGTTGTCTCCCTCTCTTCCACTTTTGCTTGTTGCGGGGATCGTGGGCCGAAGATCGGCCCGAGCGATCAGCCTGCCGAATCGGGACATGAAGCCCATGCACGTTGGCCCGCTGCTGCGACGAGTTCGGATCTTTTTTTAGTTTGTTATTTTGTTAGCATTAGTTAGCTTGTGGGTGGATTGTTTTTTGTTTGTAGGGTAGATGTGATCACATCAGGAAAAGATCACCTTAAGTGATTCTTGATTAGGCTTAGACGGAAATCATCTTTCATCGAATCTTAGAAATGTTTGTGTAGAAATGTTTGTGGAGAATCATGGATGTTAATCGCAACTTAGTTCTTAGGGTTCTTGTTTGCCGGAGTGCTTCTATAGACATCTACTCTACAAACTATCGATTTCACTGATCCTTCACTGAGATTTCATGTACCTAACTACAACATTAAATATCAAATTATAGAACCACTTATCATCTCAGCCAAAACAACAGTAAGGCAGGATTGAAGAATGAAGATGCATCTCGCCGGCCATTTTTCGAGCTGCAGACAAAATCTTAAACAGACGCATTCATGCACGAGAGATGGTATCTTGTGAAACATGTACAATCTCTTCTGCTACACATTCGTATCGATACAAGCAACACAGAGAGACACCTAAGAACAGTACTAAATCGCCCCCAACCAGGACGTTTTAACCGCTCCTCCAAGGAAATTATAAAATTCCAGAGGACCTCTTCTCGTTCCAAACGCCAAAACGATACGAAAGGTTAACCAATTACTAATCTGAATCCATAACTCCAAAGGAGAAAGACAAGTTTAAGTTAAAACTAGCCCCTGATCCAGGAGCTTCAGTTACCTACAAATAAGGCTGTGGAGCAGCCAAGGATATAGGTGATGTTGTTATTCATTTCTCAAGCGCCTTTCTTCTTTTGGCTTTTGGATGCGGTAGGAATGTCCTTCGTCAGCATTCTCGGTGCTATGGCCATGGACATGAGCTCTTGGAACAGGAGCTTACATGCATATGGAATGTGGACCTAGCATTCACAACCATGGACCGAAGTAAAGCAAGTCAGGGACAGCTTTGGCTAAATGTTTAGTCATGGAAACGAGAAGCAGGATTTTGAACACGACACAGTAGTGTAAATAAAGATAACACCAGAATCCAGAATTGAGATAAAGGCGGAGGGAGTGCAGCCAGTTAATTGGATGAGGTTCTTAGGCCGAGCAGTAAGAGTAAATTGAGCACTATGCTTCTGTATGAAGTTTTGGGTGTTATGGTTTGATTGAATTAAGATTGTTGTTGATCAGTATTTAGAGATTTCCAGGGGTTAAGAAAGAAGCTTACCTGAACGATCTCGGTTTTGTTCTTGCAGCCTCTACACTCGAATGAATTCTTCTTCAGATTGGCAATAGCGATCAGTCCGCATCGCTCGCAGACATGGACCCTATATGCATCACTTTGGTCAAACAACCTCTCCTTGAGGAAGTGCGCTGCTCCATGGGCTATCATGCAATCCCGTTCCATTTCACCGAAACGAAGACCGCCATCACGTGACCTTCCTTCGGCAGGCTGCCTTGTGAGGATCTGAACTGGACCTCTTCCCCGAGAATGGATCTTGTCGTCGACCATATGTTTCAACCTTTGATAATAAGTCGGGCCCAGGAAAATCATAGCTGTAAGCCGTCGGCCGGTGTGACCATTGTACATGGTTTCAAAACCACGCATTTGGTACCCACATTTGTGTAAAGCCTTGCTGATATTGTCGACCTACGCCATCCCAACCACACGATAAGTGAATATGAGAGCAACAGTAGCAGCATCATGTGAAAGAAAGGAAAATCAAGGGGGCGTTTGTTTTGGGGTAAAAGATATGGAACCTAAAAAATAGGTAAAATTAAAAGCTGAAGCAAACAGAATCCTTCAACTTCTAGAACTACTATCCACTATCCAGTGAACCCCATGGCCACTATGAGCTAAAAGCTCCCCCATCAAGAAAACTGTTTCTGGATTAGGAATTTATTCGTCAAGCTACACAAGCAATAGTCATTTCCCAATACTCACTTCTTGCTAAGGTATCTCATCCCATCAACTCTGTTTTCTCTAAAACACTAGCAATTAGCAAAGACAATTCGCCTTCACTTTAACCAGGTTCAATATGTTTTAGCACAACCTAAAACAGACACAGAAATATGTAAAAGCATGTCTAACTATTATATATAAGTCACTTATAGCGCCACTATTGGACTCAGAAATCATAAACGAGATAAGATGACAGAAACTTATAGCAGCATCTGAACATAGTTCATACTGGTCGTGAATTCGTAATAAAAACTTCTAGTGATGATATTTGACTGAGAATCAGTGGATGGAGTAAGAATATTCCCAAAGTCAAATGACAGGAACTTACAGTGACATCTGTAAATGGCGTAGCATCCCCTTCCTTGCCCATGTGAGCAGCAACCTTCCCCATGATGCACTCGATGAGCTGGCCGATTGTCATACGCGAGGGAATAGCATGTGGATTCACAATAATATCGGGAGTTATGCCTTCAATCGTCCACGGCATGTCCTCTTGGGTGTAAGTCATCCCCACTGTTCCCTTTTGACCATGCCGACTACTAAACTTGTCCCCTATTTGGGGTATCCGTACAGATCTTACCCTCACTTTCACAAATCTCAATCCATCGGCATTTGTTGTCAGCAAAACCTACAAAGATACGCTTTTCATCATAAAGCTTTCTTGCAATGAACAGATCATTCTTCCGCCTAGGTAGTTGTAGGCTTAAGTGATTGTTTTGCACACTGCTTAGCTACTTAAAGAGTTTTGTTTAGGCTAAAAATAAGTTAATGAATAGTTGAAACAAACACGCATTTTCATCTAATTTCTAGAACAACAATTTATGATGAACAGCCACCTCCCCGATGATATGTAAATTCCAAATTTGCCACTATGAATAAATTATATTCTTAGAGTTACACCGTATAATAACTATTTGCCAAGACCCACAGATTTCTCTAGTATCTCATCATTTAATCAAAGCATAAAAGTTATCTCATATATAATCAATTCTACTTTTGCTACAACCTCACCATACACAGGAGGAAAAGTTAGTTTTTAGCAAAGAACAGGTACAGGCACAATGTATTGCATGCAACTTAGTGAGGCTTACTTGATCAACCATTCCGGTTTCACTGTGACGTAAGCTTATACTGTGATCACGCTTCGTGTAACGGGCATTTGAACCCTGGGCATCTTCCGGTGAAATTGGAGTGGTCTTCCCAATAATAACATCTTCACCAGCAACCCTTGTACCCTAATGAAAAATTGCAGAGTAGGTAGAAAAGATGTAAAACTTTTTCGATTTCCGCAAAACACAAGACCGAGTCACACGAACAGCACAAATAAACTTACAGGAGGTGCAAGGCCATCGTCATCCAATTTGTCATATGAGCCATGTCGCATGCCCTACAGAAGAAAGTAAAGTATATTTATAAAAACGAGAAAGCAGAAACTAGGCAGAAGGAGAAGTATATTTATTAAATACAAGAAACTATACAGCACTAAAATAAATGTCACAGAGAAATGGTGAAATAAACAAAAACCATGGTATTAGCCCTGTCTGGAAGTCCAAAATCCTCTTTCACCAGTGTTCCCATTTTTTTCTCCTCATCCCTGTCAAAATGAGGAGTTGCTCAGATTATCAGAATTTTCTCCCGCTACAACAAAAGCCAATAAGACAATATGATCACATGTTCACTAGCCTGTATGAACGGAAGAAGAGCGATCTGAAGAACCCACGATCAATTGATGATTGATTCATGATGACAGAATCTTCTTGGTTGTATCCGGAATAGCAAGAAATTGCCACAATTGCATTCTGAGGAGACAGAGAAAGACAATGATTCCAACTAAAGAGATAATAGATCAGAGAAATCTAAACCACAAATGAGGTGTCAACTACTTACAATGCCAGCTGGAAGCTGCCTAAAGTGCAGATGCTCCATAGCTCTCGTAGTAACAAGTGGCTTTTGCGGATAGTATAGAACATATGCTAATGTGTCCTGACCCCATAAATGACACAGTTAGAAGTTGATATTAATAATAGAAGGTATTGAAGGGTACTCAGAAACAACACAAACACTAGAATAACAAAACATACCATTCGGAATTGGTAGTTCGTGACATATATTCCCATGGCTTGCTTTCCCATTGCAGATTGATAGGTGTTACGTGGAGACTGATCCCAAGAAGAAGTCAGTGACAATGTGACAACACATCCTGAAACAAAGTAAAATCTTGGAGGAACAGAAATCATACCTGATTATGGTCAGGAAATGGAATGATCGAGGCACAAACACCTAGGATCAATGATGGATGGATCTCACAGTGTGTGTAAGTCTCAGAATAAGCTTCTTCTGGGTTATTTCTTGCTTGTACAAGGTCCTTAAGTAAAATCCATTCATCAGATTCATCTAAAGGTCAAGGATATGATCAAAATGAAAGTCCATCTCCTTTTCCAGATCAAAATAAGAATTTCACTTACATGTATAGTCATAGAGATCATAGTTGTTTCCTCTTCTTCAGTATCAATGTATTCTATAAATCCTTTCGAGACCAGATCAATCCAGCCAGCCTCTTCAGGAGATTCCTACAGAAGCAGAGAAAATAAATATGTATCACATAGTAGAAATTGAAGGAATCGCATGTGTAAACAGATCTTCAAAAAGAAAATTATAGTCCAAATGGTTTACCCTCTGCTGCAATGCAATGATATCCCTCTTTCTTATGAGAAGTCTTTGTTTATCCACGATGAACAAAGGACGACTGCAACGGCCATAATCTGTATATATACGCAACTCCTTCAACCGAATATCCCTGACAACACCAACTTCAGTGTTGACATCAACCTGTACAGCCAGCAACCAGTCGGAGATCAATAATGCGAAAGGAAAGCAGCAACAACCATTGAACCAGAAAGTTAACAACATTTGGACAAATGAAGTAGAAAACTATGGCATACTCACGCCTTATGTTTCACCAACCTACACAGCCAGGATTCATAACAACACTTTGTCAACAAACTACAGAGGCGCAAGGACAAGTGTCCCTTCTGGTACGACTCTACATGCAGCTATGCACTATTCTCATGAAGGCTATATTCTCTAATTGAAGTCGGCTGGTAAAAATGTAGAGTGAAGCAAAAGGAGGAACGAGAGGGCAGAATACATCCAATAAACCGATGTGGCTTTGAGCCTCGACAAACCACCATCCTAGTTTGGGTATTCATTTATAGAGATTAACTACAGTGTTAAACACAAACAGCCAGAGCATAGCAAAAATAAGAAACTGACCCGCCTCCTCAGCCGCCGCAATGTTTTCACCAACATATCTGGATCTCGATGGATACCCACCCAGCAACCATTAACAAAAATCTTGGTGGCTTGGGGAATAACAGCAGGAGATATTTCCTATGAGACAGAGCGAACATGTTAACCAACAGATGTGGAAACAAATAATATATTGGAAATTGTATGGAGCCCCTCAGAGTTATAAACCTCAAAGTTTTCAGTGCCCCATTCTTCCAAAAACTCCAATATGGGATGTGGTGCTGAACCAACGGTAATATACACCATCAAAGCAAGATTTTTCACTAACCCACAAGCCTACAATTACAAGACAAGCAGAGTTAGAACAAGGAAAGCCACATGAAGCAACCTACCCAAGATTAAACACATCTTGTGAAAAGAAGAAGTGTTACCTGCCCTTCAGGTGTCTCAGCTGGACACATCATTCCCCATTGAGAGTTATGGAGCTGCCTTGGTTTGGCCAATTTTCCTAGTAAAATTAAGTACTCCATTTAAATATACCAGGGAGGGAATATAATTCAAATTGAGCAACACTTGCAACTATTCCTAAGAGATAATAACAGCTTCAGAAGTCCTCAAGACCAACTGATGCCAGCACAAAGGTAATTAAACGGTTTTTCCCAGTTACCTTCACGTCCTATAGGGGAATTCAACCTCCGCAGATGAGATAGAGTAGAGGCAAATGTCAATCGATTTAACACCTACAAAATGACAGTAAAATATCATCTCAATATAATGCTGGGAATGTTTCTTAAGAAAAAGCAGCAAAGACAAGGCAAACTCAGAAGATATACTTGTGATACTCCAGCTCTAGTGCCAGCTGCATTTGCTTGTCCCCAGTTTCCAGTGGCAAGCGAGTATTTAAGACCACTGGTGATGGTTTTTGCTTTGATGGCAAATTGAAGATTAACATCTTTCCCATTATCAACACACTGAATCAACAATGCAAAATTTTAGATCATCTTTCAATTAAGTATGCATAATATATTAGCATATATTATTGTAAGCCTACGAGGCACACCTTCTGGACATAAGACCTGACATCCCTAGTCAGCTTTCTGAACAGCTGCATCAACAGAACAAGATGAGCTACATATACTGATAACTGTAGTAATTACTAATGCCATCACACACGCACACTCCAAGCCTTCTAAACAAAAACAGACCATTCTGAAGAGGCCTCCAAGTAAAGGACCAGCAAGGTCAAGCCTCTTGTTGCCATAATGATCTCTATCATCTTCAGGTCTCCGCCCAAGAGCACAAAGTAGAAGGCGGTGGATGATATACCTACCAGAAGAGAATTTAGTACTACAAGCCAGAATAACACATGGAAGCCTTATTGAGATGAGACTCACCCAAAATAGTAGGCTTTTTTCGTCTCACAATATTCTGCGGTACCAACATGAGGAAGCATTTCCTTTTGCAGAATATCTCTAGCATACCTGAGAGGCAAACAGATTCATGAAACGGTTGCAACCAAAAAGCTCTCAAATAAGTTTACCAGAAATAGACATACTTGATCCTCTTCTCCCTTGTAACACCAACAGTTGCCCCACGTTTTCCGATATAATCAAGAGCAACCTAAAGCAACATTAGCATGCCATGTCAGTTCCAGAAAGTATAGCCTCAAGGTTAAAGTACATAAAACCATCTAGATTCATGTACATGCCACAGAAATACAAGTCAATGATGATGCAAACAGGGGAAATATCCCTAAGGCCATCCAAATGACCAGCCTAACCAAGTTTGATAAAAGGGCAGTTTAGGTACCTGTTGATTTTGAATAACAAACGCTTCTTCCAATGAAGGGCGTAACAACTCCATCATTTGGGTGTCAGCGAAATCGTAACATATGTGCTCCAATATGTCTTTGTCAGCAACAAATCCCAGAGCTCGAAATACAATAATGATTGGAATCTCAGTTCTGATGTAAGGTAGTGTAGCCTTAATGTACTGTCCTGATGATCCCTGTATATAACACCGAATCATAAGCACAATTCCAAGAACCACAACTCTTGAAACATTAGTCTATTTCACGTAGTTCCATGTGCATACCCCCTTAGCACTAGTCCGAGAAAGCATCCGGACGAACATGGTGCTCGGAGGCCGATTTTGAGACTCTGCCATGGACCGAACTTCGGCCACATAGGCATACTTGTTTGGCTGCCTTTTCTTGAAAACATAAACATGGTTTGTGCTCATCTTCTCCTGAGCAATCAGCACTTTCTCACTACCATTGATTATGAAATACCCACCCTGATCAAACGGACACTCTCCAAGCTCCGTTAGATCTGTCTCAGAATTGTGGTGCAACGTGCAAAAACTTGACCGAAGCATTATAGGAACCTGAATGTGTGCAACAAGAAATCAGCCACGCATCCAACAGTTTAGTCACCAAAGCTTTAACAAACAGTTAGTTTGAAATCCACACACCTTCCCAATGAAAACTTTGGTGAAATCCTGAGATTCAGTTACTTCTTCACCATCATGACCCTTCTTTATCACCCTCTTTGAAACATCCACGTACAAAGGAGCTGAATATGTCAGGTTCCTTAACCTGGCAGCTTTGGGGAATAGTGTCGCTGTTTCTCCGTCAGACTCGGTCATCATAGGCTTACTCAAATATATCTGTTCAAAGCTGATCTTATAAATGGTCTGCAGAAAACCATCTCTGTCAGAACAAATTACAAAAACCATACATAACCCGACCACAATCTATAACTGCTAAGCCTGGTAAGTCCCAAAACTCTCCACTGAATGACAACAATAAACTCGGCCATAACATTTAATGCATTCATAATCATCCAATCTCCTGTTAGAGCCCAAACTCAAATCTCATTCCTTAGGAACTCTGCTTCTACAGTAAACACCTAGAAACCCTAAACCAAAACACCCTACACCAGCCATTCTGCGTTTCTCCAAACAGGTACCAAAGTTTTGTTCAGGCCATAGAGAAGTTCCCCCCATAATACATAATCCTCTCGTCCCATCTAAATACACTCTCACTGTGACAACAATTAAGGGCACTTCGTTTTCTTTTTTTCCATTCTATCACTTACGACCAGCAACCATAGCCAAACCCCTATAAGTTGGGGGATACCTCAGCGAAATCGGACTGATGGCCGGGGTTATGCTGGCTCTCCGGCCGAATTTCAATATCAGCTGACTCGTCCACAATCTCTTGCATCGTGTTCTGGATGAACTCGTCGAACGAATCGAGCTGCTGCCGCACCAGACCTTTCTCCTCGAAGTAAGCGGAGATGACGGCCCATGCGTCCTCCTGAGTGATCTCCTCGTCGCCTTCGTCCTCCTCGTTGAGCTGGTGATCGTACTCTTGATCTTCATCCATCGGATTCATATTTCCACAAGTTGAGGAAAACCCCAAGAAAATTTTCAGTTCCCGCCGCTGCTTCCTGTTCTTCTTCTTTTCTTATATCTCTTTACTATTTAATTCAATCGCGTTTCAGTTCACCAGTGAGTCAGGCGGAAGCTCCTTCGGAAACCCTAACAATGGAGGTTTTTTCGCGGCAAGGAAAAGGGATGAGAGGATCGGTCTCTGAGCAGGAACTGCCCGACGAACGGAAAGGGAACTAGCTAGCTCGAAATTTTAACTAATATATCGATAGCTAAGTCATGAGTGACGCAAATCAACGAACAGGCGGTGAAGGGGTTTTAGTAAAGTCGGTGATTGGTGTGACGAACTGACGTGGAATTATGGTCCTTTTGTCCTTTTGTTCTTTCGCGCTTTTGTTTGAACAAACATGGGCTGGGCTCTATGCTATTTGTTTGGGCCAGGGCAGTCGTCCAGCCCACATTGGATAATTGACAAAAAGCTCATTTAACTTTGGCCTGGTAACACAAATGGTCAGGAACTTTTAAGATATCTTAAAATGGTCACTTAAGTATATCAACATATCAAAATAATTTTTTCATCACTTTTGGTAAATTGAAATATCAAAAAAGGAGCCGATGTGGCATCTCACTCAATCATGCTAGTCAGTATATATATATATGAATAAAACATTATTTTAAATTATTTTTAGTGAGATGAGTAAACTAATTAATTTTTCATACTATTATGATAAAACACTATTTTTCAATTCGTATAAACTATATGAGTAACCAATGTAGTCATCCTTTGTTGTTTATGAAAAAACCCATGAACATACATGTCATGCGAATATCCAATTTAATCAGCCCAAGTGAGAAAATTTTGGTCACCATAATAAATAAATAAGAAACCACGAATCGCCATATACAATAAGGAGCAATGCAGTCAAAATCGCGCTTTAAAACTTAAAAGCTTATGCTTTTATCTTTTTAGGTCACTAAAGCGCTTTTACGTAGAATCACACTTTTCCCTTATAAGTGTAGGCAAAATCTAGGCTTTAAAACTTAAAAACTTACGATTTTACGCTCCTAGATCACCAAAACGTTTCTAGGTAGAATCACGCTTTTGAGTGCATTGATAAGGAGACCATGAATCATCTTATGTGACTCTCCTAATATTGTCTCGATAAATTCGTATCTCTTTGATGGTTCAAATCAATGTATGAATGTATAAATATACGGTATACATATAATAACAAATAAAAATGGGTTTTGTTCAACTAAACTTTTCAAATTTACTAGAGGCAACTAATCAATGGTGTAAAAATGAGGTATCCACTAGAAAAACTCTTGTATACGGTATTTTACCGGTAAATAACCACCAATCAGTATTTTAATTAAATAGAGTGTGGATGTTTATAACCTTTTAAATACCACACAGTGTGAGGTCGATGCAATATTAAGTGCAAGTTTCTCCAAAGTTCTTGGGAAGTCTAGTTGGATCTCATTCCAACCACCACCAGCTCTTACGCCCTTATCCAAGGCCCAGGGATGGGAGGTTGATCCACCAAAACAAGCTAATTAATCGCATGGTGCCATGCAAAGATAGTGAATTTATCACTCATGCAAAGATAATGATGATTACATGATCAAGTTTCCATGAGTGCAAAACATAACCTTAGTATCGACAGTTTTGTACACTAGCGATATACTATAACACAATGTTATAATTTTCAAGTATTGGAGTCGACCTGATCAAGTTTAGCGAACTCCTTGTCTGATATTTTTCTTCGTGTTGTTTGTATAAGCGATGTTGTTTGTACATGATGATCAAATTTCCATTAGTGCAAAATAGAACCTTCGTATCGACAGTTTTGTACCCTAGCGCCATACTATAGCAATATTATTATAATTTTAAAGTCGATCAAGTTTAGAGAACTCCTTGTCGAGATTTTTCTTCGTGTTGTCTGTACAAGCGATGTGGTTGGTTGCTATCTATGGATAAAAGACAATATAATGTTTTTTTCGCTCCTTTTTTTCTTTTCGATCGATCATAGTTTCGTGCGTTGATAATAAATAAATAATTTTTTTCTTCTTCTGAAGAGCAAATAATTACAAAATATGTACTTTCGTTATGTCGAGAGGGTCTTTTATTTGGCATTAGCTAAACTTGATTATCATGACCAACAACTCAACATGACGACACGTGAGTTAGAGGTACGCAGTTTAACTACACTACCCTTATAGGTCAAATTCTTAACAACAAAAACGATGTGATTTGAACAAGGAAATTTCATCGTCCAAAAGTGTACCCCATTACAAGTAACTTACATTACACGCTTACATAGTGTTGTAGCTGCTCGTAAAGTACAGGGATCATAGTGCCTTCAAATTCCAATTCAAACTACAGTTACAAATGCATATAAAACTTATAACAAACGAACAATCGATAAGACTCCTCCGATTCTATGCTCGTCCGATCGACTATACGAATTCGCTAGTCTTTTTAGTATTCATGCTCCTCAACCGCTCACTCAAATTTCGGACTCTTATGCTATTGCTATTAGCCACACATCGATTATCTTAACTAGGAAAAATATGTAAATTGTGGGTTAAAATAGTGGACGGTAAGTATATAGATCACAATTGGGTACAGATTCCGGCGGAGTTGTTCAACCAAACCGTTGATATTTGTACCGCCCTCTCCCCCAAAACTCACCATTTCTTTAATCACTTCCCATTTTCCTATCTGCCCTTTTCCTCCAAACAATCCCTCCCAATTGTTTAAGCGATTGCATCAGGGGAAAAGCCAGAAAGCAGAAAGCGATTGGCAACTGAATTTTTATATAAGTAGAAAACGTTGCACAGTTCTTTCTAACACGAACCTCTGTTTTCTCAGTTGACCGGTTACCAAACAAAGAACTTAGCTTTATAGTTTGCTTGCTTCCCATCCTTCTCCCAGAGAAACAGAGCTCCTTCCTCTGCCTTCCATCTGTCTAAATCCCAACCCATTTTTCTGCCACATCGCCAACACAAAATCGAAAGGCCTTTCTGTTGTCTTTCTCTTTATGTTGTCTCCAGAATTGGGTCTTTAAAAGCTTTTAATTCCCCTCCAATTAGAGAATCATCAATCGTTCAGTGAAGAAGGAGCTCTTTCTGCAGCCATGGCGAAGATCAGGAAGGCTGTGACCGTGATTCTGAGGCTGATCGCTCTGGCTGCCACGGTGGTTGCGGTTGTGATCATGGTCACCAGCAAGGAGACTGCTCATGTCTTGAACTTGACGTTCACCGCCAAGTTCACCCACACCCCTGCCTTCAAGTAAGTTTGCTCTGTTCCCTGAACTCGATTCTGGTGTTGACCCGTTTTTGTTCATCTTTCCTTGATAAAGAATATTGCAACTAATTCGTTTACGCAATTCTTGCAGATATTACGTCGTCGCGGAAGCGATTGCGGGAGTGTACACCATCGTAGCCCTTCTGCTTTCTTCCAAAAGCTTGTTGTCGCGGTTAATCCTGATCCTAGACGTGGTAACTAGCTAATCACAGTTTCATAGCGTAATTAGATTAATTATTCTAGTTAATCTTCGTTGTGGTTTAGTTAATGAAGTTTAGCGGGATTTTCGTTGATTGATTTTGTCATCAGGTGATGGCGATGGTGCTGACATCGAGCATCTCCGCCGCGCTGGCGATAGCTCAGGTGGGGAAGCACGGCAACAGCCACGCTGGCTGGCTGCCGATCTGCGGCCAAGTCCCCCATTACTGCGACAAGTTGATTATTTCTCTCGTCGCCGGATTCGTTGCTGCGCTGGTGTATTTGCTGCTTCTCGTCTACACGCTTCGAGCGGCGCTGAGTCCTGTGTTCGCCATTAAATCTTAGGAAAAAATTATGTCTGGTGTAATGTACTAAAGCTTACAGAGTGCTGGTTAATATATCTTGGGCTTCCTTTCTTTCTTATTCTTTTATCTCCCTGTTGTTTTGTTTCGTTTGAAGCAATCATATTTTAGCTTAGTTATTGTAATGCTATTTTTTCGTTTTTGATATGAGATGGTTGAGAAAGAATTCCCCGATTGAGTTTACATCTTAGGCATCTTAGGGATTGTTTGGAAATTACGATTGTTTTGTTGAGATTGTCATTATGTATGTATTGTTTATAATGTATCGTTTTTTTCTTTTTTTTAGCAGAAACAATATATGGATTGTTTCTGTGATGTGACAGAAACTATCACTCATTTTGAGTGATTGTTATATCTCAACTTTTAGTTGTGATTGTTGAGATATTTGAGTTAAATTATTTTGTCTCAGCTTTTAGCTGATGCGACATACACAATCACACATACCAAACGTTGTATTTTACAATGCATCAAATTCGACAATACATGTATTCTCAATAATACATCTATTTAACAATTCCAACTTTCAAACGATTTAGATTTCTATTGTCACCTCTGGTTGTTCAAATTCTCGTGGCTGCACATAACGACAAATTACGATGTCGTTACTTATCAGCAAACTCTCCGATGCTACTTCTGGAAGACTCGCGAAATCAATCTCCACCGTCCGATCGAAACGACTTTTCTATCAACGGTCCCGTACCGTCCACACACAATTCAGATAATTCCCGCGTGGCCACTCGCCGGGAAACTCATTTCAAGCCACTCACTCAGTGGTCAGAGAACCCCACGGCCGGGAGTCTCACCTAAATGCCAACTCCGAAACCAGAGGGAACGAAATCTCAGCCGATTACAGAGCAGGATTAGCGATCAAAGATGGTTTCGGCCGTTCAGGGCTTGAAATCTCCTCTTTCTTCGAGCTTTCCCTCCATATCCAGACCAAGAGCAGCCACTCGTAACCGCTCCTCCGCTAGGGTTCAGGTTACCTGCTCGAGCTCCACTCCGGAGAATACTCCTCTGGTCATCGGTAAGTCTTTCCAGGATTTCAGTTTTTGTTTCCTTCGGGAGCAGGTTCTGTTGATTGAGCTAAGAGATTTAGTGTTGGTTGCGGGCAGAGAAGCCGCAGAGGAACGACGCCCCTCCGGTTACCGGCGGCGCGTATGATTTTGAGAGGGCGACGAGCTCTCTGGCCGGGAAGTTGCTGTCTTCTCCGAAGAAGGTTACGATTGTGAGGCACGGGCTCAGCACGTGGAATCTGGAGAGCCGAGTTCAGGTTAGGGCATGCTCGAATTGAAATTGGGAATTGGAAGTGAACGAGCTTTTAATTTGGGGAAATTTCGGTGTTTGTTTGTGTTAGGGAAGCTCGAATTTGTCCGTGTTGACGGAAACTGGAATAATTCAAGCGGAGATGTGCAGGGCGGCATTGTCAGGGATGCATTTCGATCAGTGCTTTGCGAGCCCGATAACTCGTGCTAAGGTCTGTGGATTGTATTGTGGAACACTTACAGAACAAGCTGGGAGAAGTTTGCTGGTTTCTTGTTACTCTAAGTCAAAACATTTACATGGGTTTGAATCTGAATGTGGCAGTCTTTTGCTGAGGTGATATGGGAAGGGAGGGAAGAACCCATCATTTTCCTCGATTCACTGAAAGAGGCTCATCTCTTCCACCTCGAAGGCTTGAGAAATGGTCTGTCTAGTTTCGTTTCACTCGGGCGTATTTGTTCCTTACTCGTCAAGTTACAAATTTTGTTCATTCTTAAACTTGTGTTGGGATTGATTTGCTGTATAAAGACTAAATGATGTTCAGCATTTGGAGGCAGTGGATGCTAAGGCGAACTATCCCGAGTACACGATGTGGAGAGAGGAGCCTGTCAACTTCAACGTGAATGGTGTCTACCCGATACGAAATCTGTGGCTTACAGCAAGAGAAGCATGGAAGGAGATCTTGCTGTCACCTGTGAGTTCTTCCTCTGCTTCGCTACGTCGTGAATGGATTATCAATCTATGCTTGTAAAAGAAACCGTTTGTTTTGATACGGTGACTGTTGGCCAATTCATTCGCTAGGGAGAAAATTTCCTGGTTGTCACACACAAGTCGATATTACGGGCATTGATATGCACAGCTTTGGGGCTTGGTCCGGAAAGGTATGTCGTATTGAGAATATCTTGCAGCAAATTCCAATCTTGAGCATAACTGTTAATCTTAGTAATACCATGCGCGGCTGGTAACAGAATCCTGCTATGGTTTTCTCAGGTTCAGGGCAGTTGATGTGAACAATGGAGGCATATCTATGTTTGATATCAACACCAGAGGAGAAGCAATGGTTCAGTCTTTGAACATGACTGCTCACATGTATACCAACCATGTGTATCATTAGGTGAAACTACTAGTGTGTTGCAAGCCACCCTGTGGAATTTGCTGTTGAATTCAGATGACGAGAGAACCTATTTGTAACAACTTTTAGTGGGAATCTACTTTGTAAGCATTCTGAGTTTCGTTCGGTTGGAATTTGATTGTATAAGTTCTGTATATAGACCAGAAAACTGCCATAATTGGAGAGTTTCAGCCAATCCTGACGATTGGAGTTTACCTTTGTTTGTCGATAATGAAACCATATTGTAGCTGTTTCTTACTTGAAGAAAGCACATTTCAACTTGCATGAATGGTACAGCTACAGAGTACAGCCTACTGTCAAGAACCGGTTGATCCCAATAACTCGAGTTGTTGGGAGAAGGTTCTGCTGGATCTTATACCACATTCTAACACCTACAGCCATAGAAAAAAGCGCTCTCTTTGGGGATTCCAAAGCCCATATATATGTTTAGTTCAAATATTCCAAAAAAGGCCCATTTCACATTCAATTTCTGGCCCAATAAAAGCCCAATAATTTGATTGTTCAACCTTTCTGTCCCTTCCTTTGTCAGTGAATCGAAGAAAACCAAAAACCCTCCGCGATCTAAACCCCTCGCCACCATCACAGTTTGCCGCCGGCCATGGCGCATCGACGTTCACTCCACTCCCTGGCTCGCTTCTTCTCTTCACACTCCACCGTCGCTCCGGGATGTGCTCTGAAACCGGTCGCCTCGATTCTCCCGAATCATTTCTCCACGGCCGCAACCAGCTCGAGTTCCGATTGCATTGTTCCAAAGTCGGACGCCACTTCTTGGTGCAGCAGCCTCTTCTCCCGCAACCGAGCTCGACATTTTTGTTCTAGCTCACGGAAAGATGATGATGATGATGAAGACGAAGAGGATGACGGCGAGGATGACGACGAGGAGAGCGAAGGAGACTACAGTGATGAAGACGAGGAGGGAGCTAGGGAGTCGTCTGATTCTAATCCGAAGCCGAAACCGAAACCGCCGCCGGGTCCCGTAGACAAGGTGGCCAGGGCTGCTGAGATTGGATACAAAGTGGTCGGCAAGCTACAGCCATCTGATAAAGTCTTCAAACCGTACGAGCCTGTTTACGCTGTCGTTCAGGTTTGGGTTTAACCTTCTTAGCATTGGCCCTTCTTTCTTTTGTTGGATTTTGAAGTTCTTGGATGGGATTGTTGATGCTTTTGTGGCGTTTCTGTGATGTAGATTGGGTCTCACCAGTTTAAGGTCAGCAATGGGGATACTATTGTCGCTGAGAAATTGAAGTTCTGTGATGTAAATGACAAGGTAAAGTTGGGATTCTTGTATATCTTTCTAGCACATGGTACTATGGCGCTTACATTCGCAGTAATTCTAGATGGTTGGTTATCAGTTTGTGGTAATTTTGACATTGAAATTACCATTTCTATGTCGTGGATTTTTGTCCTATGCTCGCTGTGTGCATTGGGCGCAATTGATGACTCTGAATATTCATGTTGACGAGGTGATTGTTGAGTGCATATGCTTCATGCTAAGAGTCTATATTTGGGATGTGGGCAGTCAAGTGCCTTACTTTTTAGCTCTTACCATGTTAATATGTTTGATTTTCAGATGGGTTTTGGTAAACATTTCTTATGCATCTTGATTGCTATGTCATTGTTACCAACATTTGTTCAATCTTATGTATCTATTATCTTAAGCATTCAGTTGATCCTTCACTCTTTGATGCCATTGCAGTTGATTCTCACCAAGGTTCTGTTGTTAGGGTCAGCAACCCAAACAATTGTTGGTAGACCAATTGTGCTGGATTCAGCTGTTCATGCAGTTGTTGAGGAGCATGTAAGTCTGACATTTTCTCTCTCTGTCTCCAACCCAGAACAAGCTTCCATAACAGACAAAACAAGCTCTTTGGTTTTGTTAGGGTTCAAGAATCAGACCACTGAGTCATTTGCACGGTGATAGTTGAAATTTAACAACTGCTTTGTACCTGTGTGAATCACTAGTTAATAGAAAATTACAGCAGAAACAATTGTCTTCTGTAATGAGAAAAATGTTGGTCTTGAACTGAGATTATCTCTTCTCTTTCTTATATTCGGCGTCGTACGTTAAGTATAAAACTGTTTATCTCTCACTGGCTTGGGTTATAAAGAGGGAATAACCGCTTTGTTTCATATAAGGAACTGTTGTTTAATTGTTTCCTGCTTATTCTAAAATTTGCTTCCCCATCATGTTAGCTCTCTGGGTTCTCAAAATTATAAAATTCCTTTTTAGTGATCCTGCAAGGGAAGGTCTTAGTTGTAGATGAATTTTGTGCATGGAAATGGGCACTGTTTCATATGGTTACTGTTACTTTATTCGCCATTTAGAGAAAGCATAGTTCAACTTTTCTGGAAAGACTGCTGGACCAATATGAAGTTTTACATGCATTTCATATATGGGATGTTGGATTCCTCTGGGAAGCAAGAACTATTTTTCCTCCCTTTGTTCCAACCTCCTTCATCCTCTTTCCCCCGCCCCCCCCCCCCCCCCCCCCCCCCCCCCCCCCCCCCTTTCTATTCTTCCTGTAACTCTTTCAAATGGTGCTTGAGATGAAACGCTTCAATATTTTCTGTAAAAGAAAGTTATGTATGGAAACTTGTGAAGCTACAGTCACTCACCATATCTTCTGTGTTAAAATCTCCATAGTGTAATCCATAATTGCTTTTTACATTTTTCAGGCATTAGACGAGAAGGTAATAATCTTTAAGAAAAAGAGGAGGAAGAACTACCGCCGAACTAAAGGACATCGTCAGGTACGCTAAACATGAGTTTCTGCATGATTATGATCATACTTCCACTCATTCTCAAGATCATACTATTTTCCTTCAATCTGTGGATTGTGGTTTTGTGTTGTTCCCAGGAATTGACTAGATTAAGAATCACCGACATTCAAGGAATTGCAAAACCTGAAATCAAAGTAGATCCAAAACCCACAAAGCCCACGAAGCCGACGAAGCCTACAGTTAAGGAGCAAGAAAAGGTTGCAGTCGCTGCTTAGGAAACATTCTGTCGTCTTGCCAGTAATGCTCCCTGGGCTTGTAAGGTCAGATAATAGTTCTGCAATGCTGTGTTTAGTTTGGCAGAGTACCTTTAGATCCATTCAGCAAAGATGCTTATTAGGGGGACAAAGTAAGTGAACCATCCAAGAAGATGGTTGGCAGGTTGATCCGATGGAAATATACTACTTTCACCTGTCATCTTCTTCACTCCACTGCATTTCTTGTCTGTCATCTTTTGGTAGCTATACTGCTTTCCCCGTTTAATGTAATAGAGTTTGTCCTAAGAGGCTATCAATTGAGGATCAAATAAAGTATCCTTTTGATATGAGACTTTGTTCTTCTGTTAGGTTTTTTTTTATATATGCTTGAAACGGATTTGGCCTTATCGTGCAAATGCTGATTAGTGATTTCAAGCATGAGCCTTGGGCTTGAAGCTTACTGTATTAGAGCATTTGGTCTTGTTTGATGAATGTTTAATCCCCCCTGGCTTTTGATATAGTTGATTGCTGGTTTAACTGAAAGTTCCCCATCGTCTTGGTAAACTTGGTGCCTGCAGGTGCTGTGTGTGGCTGCGTGGCCGGTAGGTATTCTTCCAACTTGTCATGTTCTCGATCCGTTTTATGATACTATCGTGTCTCTTAGAAAAACATGTTTCAACTCTAATGTAGTTAGTTGCAAGTACTAGCCTTCACATCTCGAATAACTCAACTTCACCAGTAGGTGGAGATGAATCCACTCCTCCTGTCATTCTTCTTGATCACTCCAGTTTTGGCAAACATAAAACATGTGTTGTTTTGTTTTGTGTCCACTTTCAACAGTTGGAAAGAGCACTTTGAGTTAGAAATGGATAGAGACGATGGCACTATCTAGCAGCAGTGCCTCCACTGTGAAAAAAAAAAAGCATGAAACAAAAAGGAACACAAAAGAGAGATTCTGAGGAAAAAGGGAAGGAGAGGAGAACGATTGCACCGTTAGAATGTCTATCTCTTCAGTTGACCCGCAACTTACTGTTTAAACACTTTACCAAACTTTATTTTCCCCTTTACAAATTCCTCCATTATAGTGGCTTGAGAGTCAATAGGAATTAGGAAATTATACCGTCTCGAATAGTATTTTTGTATAATAAAATTATGCGAGCTTGTTACTGAAGTTTAAAATAACTGATATAATAGTGCCGTAAGATATATTCTTATCGAATTTTATGTTCGAAGTTTTCAGATTAGATTTTTAATTCTCTCGAATTAATGATAAAGTAGTCACTCGAGTCATATGATTATCTTTTAAATTTGAGAGAAAAAAATTCAAGTAGTCTTTGGGTAATGAGTGACGAGTAACTAATTGGGTTTGCATCGAGTATGAGTAATGGGTTAAATTGAATTGTTTGTCAGTTCATTAAAGCTCATGTGATTATCGCATTACTAATTTTGATGATTTGAGAGACTGATATGAAATATTTAAAAAGAAAATTCAACAAAGATAAATGAAATGACTGTAATGTACTAATTATCACAAACTTTGCTGACAAATTTATTAATCACCAACTCAAAGTTTAGGGTTCAAGATGTAGATTTGGCTCCTTAAATTGATTGCACAATTTTTAATAGGAACATCGCCATACCACCAAAGCTAGGGTTAGGCGCAAGCTGAAGATTTGATTTGAGATCATCAAAGGACCAAAAGGAATCCTTGTAGATAAAAAAAAAAAAAAAGTCAAGTTGTATAGAATGTGCATTCCAGGTATATATTTAGACTCACTCACTAACCCACTAACGAATTTGTGCCTTTGCATGAAATCAAACATATAAATAAATAAATAAATAAAATAAATGATTTCGTGGTGCTTGTGAAAAAGCAACATATTCAAGAGTGGAAGTCGGTGTTTATTTATGTAGAAAGGACAGATGGACAATTGTTTTACACAATAATTGGCCAACCCAAAAGGAGAAAAGTCTTCTTCATTTGGGGTTTATTAGGAAAATTCTTCATCATTGTGCTTTGGGGCTTGGAGGGGCCAATGGAGAAATAGTATTTTGGATATGAGATCATGAAGAGTGGCAATGGATTGTTTGGAGATGATGTGTATTTTTATGATGTAGAAAGAAGTGAGTTAGATTTTGAATCCAATAAAATATTGATATCGAATGAGAATAGAAGAAAGAAATTCGAGAAAATAACTTTGATTTCTTGTGATTTGACTCTATTTTTTTTATTTGATTTATTCCTTATTGAGATTTAGTGGAGTCAAAATGAGAACTGATTTTAAATATGGATTATAATGATATCCTTAATTATGTTTAAACAACCACAACATACATAACTCTTCAAATATAAGTATATTAATTTCTATGCATATATATATAAAGAATCGCACTAGAGAAAAACATAATGACAATGTTTCAATAAGTGTGCATGAAAACTCCAGTATGTATCAATAAAGTTAACAATGTATTGTCATAATTTTGTGATTTCATGAACCCTATTGTGATGATTCCTTTAGTAAATTCTAAAAATTGATAACTCAACACCAACATTTCAAATGGCTTTGTCAAAATCCATCTTTCATAAATTTCAATGGTTCAACAATTCTACATCCAAAATATCATCTCTTGCACACCTAATAATGTTGAATATAATTCGCATATACCATTTTCTTGATTTTATCAATAAAACTAAGAGAATTTTATATTACAAGTTGGACAAAAGCCAAAGTTGGAACTAGTAAAGTACAAATAAATATGCCAAATTTGGAGTAATGGGGAAAATAAAATCTCATTCCATGAAACCCACAAGCACAAAATGCACTTTCCCCTTTACATAAGTGGACTCTGGCTTTCTGTTCTCCCAAATGCTTCATTGCTTTGCAAATTCAAAATTTTCAATCACATCCCTCATATAATATTTTTCATAAAAATATTTAGAACTTATTCGATATCTTTTAAACAATTTGAATCGTTAAAAATAAAGTGGTTCTCGATATTGCATCATATCTTTAATTAAGAGGACTCGTTGTTCGAATCCTCGTGAACTTTCGTGTTAACAATCAACTTGAAATAAAAATTATGGCCAAACTTGTATGAATTTCGAACTTATAAACTAGTTTTGTTTGAGAGTATTGATGAAAACTCGTAGAAATTGAATATGACTCGTACTTTTTTTATAAGCATTATGTGTGAACTCCACTTCCCATCCTTTGTCCTCGATAATGATTATAGTAATTGAAAATTTTAGTGGTTGCAATAGTTCAATTCCCTCCACTTATTGGTTATCTTTAAAGTAAACCGTTCCTTTCTCATGATAAAATGCTCTATTGGGACAAACAAAAAGATGGTCTAGTAACTTCAATCCATAGCAAATACTAGTTTTGGTCGAAAGGTTCATCTCTTTAAAAGGGGAAGATCTTGGTCTACCGAGTTTTCCTATTCAAAATTATGCATTGTAAGAGGTAAAGTAAACTCAGGAGAAAAAGAACACAAATACTCTCAATCAAAGATTCATATATAGTGTAAAAGAACAATTAATCACAACAAGTCGAGCTGGTGAAAGATAGTTTAAAATGAAACTTTATACAATTTTGTAAAGGACTATATCGCTATCTTCTCCCTCCTGACAACTTGTTTCCGAAATGTTCATAATTATTTCGCATAATTCAAAAACAAACATAGGATATCAAATCACCTTATTTACGACTAATTAATCTTCTATGTAGAAACCGTTGTCTCTTTTCTTTATGATAAAGTTCTCACTCTTTCTTTGAATAGTGGTGGATGATTGTCCCCCCTCCCTCTATCATTAAAAAGTAATTAAGTGCCAAATTATAGTAGGGTTGGTTCCTCTTTCTTTCATCTTGTGCTTTAGATATATGGGATCCGTCATTTGATTCGTCCCAATCCAATTGCACTTTTCATAAAGCAATACACCACTACTCCAATATTCTTCAATAATATAAAACTAAATTAGTGAGGTGGCCAACATTATTTGAAACTTGTGATGAGAGAAATTAGACAATTCATTCTGTGTGCTAAATTTTACATATGAAATTGACCGAAATCGTGATTTGTCCAAAGAAGATTGAAAGTTGAAACTGGTTATGAATTCAGTAATCTCTTAATAAGCCAAGTCTCCAAAATTTTTGTAAATGCCCTGCAAATATGAGATAGGTAAACTACAACATCGACTCAAATATTATGGCGATTAGGTTTCTCTCCGACATAATAAGAAGCACTTATGGTGATTACTCACTTCCCTTTCCTTTCTCCTTCATCAGCATGCAAAATGTTTGGTTTTTCGGCTCAACTAATGATAAGTTGGTGGTAAAGGAGGGAGCAATCTAGTTGGAACAAATATACTATATGCACAAAATCTTGTTCACTTATTGAGTTGACGACACATCACAAAACAACGCTCAGGATAACTAAAGGGTCATTGGGCAGATTGCATCACATCCATGGCACATAAGCTGGAGTGCATAGTCAAAGAAGAACTTGGCAACTGGAATTCATCTTGGGAAAAAGAGATGAATGATTCATTATATAAAAAGAGAAAGAGGAATAACAAACTAGACAAAAACAAATGATTAAATAATCATCATGACTCTTGTGCTTTGCTTCACTTGCCAAACCCACCCTACTTTGATATTTGGCTAACTTAGATCCTTGTATTTATTTATATTTACCGCCTTTTGTTCCTCTCCCCATATAAATCGTTATCAATCAATCAACATGTCATCATTAGTTTCCAGATCCCGTTGTACACTAGGTAGTATGTTGAACAAGCGTAAATATAAGAGTATAGTGATGTGTCTGGGAAAATGCTCAAGAGCCATAATGATTGATAACCCTAAACATAAACAAATGATCAAATAGGATGACATATGACTAGAAACTAATAATGCTCAACATTGCGATTTGAATTTTGAAGGGATTTTTACCAACAAAAAAAAAAGAAATTTGAAGGGATAGTGGGTAAGAAAAGGCATTGTTAGGAATTGGCCACTTTCATTTCCCTTCATAATCTATCATTATTTTTTTTAGAAGCCTCTCCAACTAGATAGTGTTGGGAATTATTAGTGCTTTCTAGACTCAAAGAGCCCTAATCTTTTCATTCACATCTACCATAGTGCTAAGATGTAAAAAAAGAAAATACCTCGAAAAGGGGGAGCATAGCTCATTCACTCTTTTCACTTGCCACCCCTAGAAACCTCATGACTTGTCAATACTAAGACCCAAATTGATTGTCTTTTAGTGTTCTTGAAGTGGGTGGTAGCGTGGCACAAGCAAATAAACTAAAGTGTAAATGTGTCACTATCTTGTTAAACAAACCCTAATTTCCAACATAGGGGGAGGAAAAACGGTTTCCTTTTGTGTTGATTGACAGATAGGATATCAAAATGGGAAGGACTCCATATTTTTGTTGGCATTTGTTATTTATAGTTTCTAACGTTCTTTTTATCATTTGAGTTCTTATGTTTACACATTTTTCAGCAAGAGTGATTTCAAATCGAGCTCATATTGAGCCAAAGTTGTACTCAACTTGACAAGCTGTGTTAATGAGCAATTACCGAGCTCGAGCTATATTATTTTTATTCAAGCCGAGCTCGAACTGAAAAATATATAAAAGAGCCGAGCTCAAATTAAGCCAAAACTCGACTCGACTTGTTTGAAGCCCTACCTTCAGTAGCTCTCAAAAGCCCAAGCAAGAGCAGAACATTAGAGCAATGAGCTTCCACCGGTGAAAAAACCATGGATCAGTCTGTCTTCTAATCCACCCACCTCGTCCTAGCTTATTCATGAGGAGGACATTTGCATCCCCGAGTCACCGAAATATCTGTGGTGAATCAAGGAGGTAGACGAAAGGTGAAGGGGCAAGAAGACAAGCCAACCTTGGAGGCAAAATCAACCACCCTTTGCCACCATGAACATAAGAACTCTAGACATGACGAATCTTATAAGAGAACAGAGAAGACATCTATAAAAAAAGACTGTTTTGAAGAATTTAAAGTTGACTGTAAATATAACCAAAAAGCATTGAAGAAAGAAAACAAGCATAGAAAACAAAGGGGTAGAAGGCTACCGCCGATGGGCAGAGAGGATGTCGACGGTTGCCCCTGATGAGGGGTGGCGATGGAAACTCTAAAAACTAGAGAGGTTAATTCAAGCCTGTCCTTTTGATAATTACAGTGCCATAAAAATAGAGGTAAAAACAAGGTTTTTGATAGGGAATGGGATTGAATCATTGAATGGCAATTCAGTCATTTGGCTAAAGAAGTATATATAACCAAATTAGTTAAGCAAACTGCAAAAGCTTTGTTATTATTAACTTTATTATTACTATGGCTGCACTGGCACCACTCTCAGTGTCTCTCACTGTCATCGATATAACTTTTGGTTGGGGTGTGCATTGTGATGTTGATAATGGGGGGTTGATACTGTTGGTATATTCTCCCTATTCCCATAATCAAAATAGTCACATTCTCTTATATTCATTTCGTTCCCCCAAACCCATTAGGCCAATACCACCGTTGCCGCTCACACACCACCTTCCAGCAAAACAGAGCAACTTCCTCATAAACACACAAAATTGCGAGCGAGCGAGGGAGCTATTCGTCCAACAAACTGCAGCCAGCGAGCCAGTGTTGAGGAAGCAAAGGGCAAAAGCAAAGTTGTCTCTTTGACGCGGCTCGCTGTGCGATGTTTGCGAGCCTTTCCCATGGCCTGATGGGTGGAGTTCAGAGAGGGACTCTGCCTCTCTGAATTCCCTTTCGCTGATCAGTAGTAGTTCTCCCTCTCTTTCCCTGGGCACGCACGAGAAAACTTCTCAAGAAGAGGGAAAGCGGCCGAGGGATGTGAGGAATCCCAGTTGATTTTCCCACTTATTTTATTTTATTTTCTTTGGGTTGTTGTTATGATGGCGCTCCTGGAAGACTTCGAGGCAGCAAATTGGTAATGGGTTCTTTCTTTCTTTCTTTCTTTCTTTCCTTCCTGGTTTCAGCATCTCAATCCATTTGGTGATGCTTACTAGAGAGAATCATTTGGTGGGTTGCTGCCAATTATGCCTTTTTCTCTTGGTTTTGTTCTGGGATTCCAGAATGGATTGGTTAGCATATTGTTATGCGGAGAAATTTGGGAGGATGCTTTTCTAACTAT